TTACGTCTGTCATCTGCGAGTCTCTCTGTATGCCCCATCTACTGCAGTCTGTTAGCCCTAGTGATGCCATTTATTACCAGTATTATCTTAAATGACCTTCTTCCTAAAGTCCATGCTGTGTGGCGTTGGTAGTCATGTCTATCCACAACCTTTTGTTTTGTGTGTCAGCTCTGACACAGAAGATCTTCCATAGTCCATGTCGTGTGGCATTGGTAGTCATATCTGTCCACAACCCTCTGTCTCGTATACTTTCAATCAACTCTGACACAGATGATCTTCCATAGTCCATGCCGTGTGGCATTGGTAGTCATATCTATCCACAACCATTTGTCTCGTGTATCAACTATGATACAGATGATCCACCATGCCATGATGTCAAACTGCCCAGCCTCTTTTCTCTCGATCTCTCTCTGCCTCTCCTCCAACTTGCCCACTGTCATGATGTAGTTCAGTTTTAAACTTCTCATCACATGACCAAAGAATGTAGATTGTCTCTTTCTGATTTGGGCAATCAGTTCTCTTTGTGAGTCAGTTTATTCAAGACTTCTTCACTATCATGAATGATATGTACATTAAAATGTATTTTGTAATGTATTTATTTTTTTTGTTTGTATTAATAAAGCCAGATTTTTGACAGAATGTTTTACTTGTCAAAATCTGTTTTGCGACATTAGTTTATTTTTCATGAATAACTGTGATTTGACATTAGTAAAAAAAATTTACATTGAGAACTTTTCCTACAAATCTTCTAACATTTATATTTTATATCTAAACTAATCTGTTAAATAATTACTGTTCTTAAAACTGTATGTTAGGTATGTTTATGTCACATTTATAATCCCGTTTGTATTTCAAATTATAAAACATACTATAGGATACATCTGTTCAAAGTATATGTACTGGGTACATTATGTTAGCGATTTGAATCATTTAAATTTGGTTCCATTTACAGCAGAATTGTAAAATAATAACTTCATACTCCGTCCCAATATCAGAGAATTTTTTTTTTAAACCTCACCCTGGCTGTTGTCGGGGAGCCCTAATATAACCTAACGGTTGAACAGGGTTTCTAGGTTTTGCATCTAAGGTATTCTCATCCGAATGGTGTCACCGGGTGTGAATCTCTCATTGTTCAGACCTGGTAGGGGTTGGAGGTCACTCACGTGTCAAAATAATTACTGTTGTTGCTGTTATTGGTTGAAATCTGTGGCTTAGAGGTTATAAACATAGCTTTGTAATTCCAGTATATCGGGTCTGACTCAGCTGCAGGCCATTTGAAAGCAGAACGTTTAGAAAGCATTGATAATATCATCATCATCATCATGCACCCGGCTGCCATTAGTGCTCATGTCTCTCCACAGATCTCGGTACTTGGTTTTTTTAATCAGTTCCACTTACGATATTTCTCTGTGGCATCGCTTCAGGCCATCAAGCATTGTCTCTCTTGGTCTACCTCTGCCATTATTGATCAGTGATTAGAAAGGATTATTATCACAGACCCATAGGTGCTCCGATCTCCTCTTTAAAAGCTCCACAATTGTAAAGCGACTGATGACGTCTGTTCTGTGTTGGTTAATGAAACGTCTTGTCCCCTTAGTTCTTCTTCTTCTTTCGTTCGCATGAAATAAATTGTCTATATCTGCAAAGCCGTCTCTAGTATGAATTTCACTGTCTTTTGTAATTCACTAAGCGGCCCGTAAAGTTTGACTTCCACAAGTGTCTCTTTTGGCCAAATGTTTTGCCTGAAAGCGTTGAATATGGGACAGTCTTGAAGGATGTGATCTGTTGTTTTAGGTGCCAGTCCACAAGTACACATGGCCGATTGGCCAATCTTAAATTTGTTGTACATGTGGGAGCGAAGTCTATTGTGCCCTGTTCTAAGGCGAAGGATAATAACTTGCTCTGGTCTGTCCATAATATGGTAATCATCTTGTGCCAGTTTCGGTGGCATTCTGATTGATTTGATCATTCTCTTCTTCTGTTGATAAGAGACTGGTATGTCAGGTTGTTCTTCAGTTGCACCTTCCTTAGCTAGTTTATCAGCTTTTTCATTTCCGGGAACTCCACAGTGGGAAGGTATCCACTGCATTACCAATTTACAGCGGTTGCCTAGTTCGGATAATAGTGTCCGTATGCTTGGTAATTTTCCAGACTGGAGTGACTGAAGTACTGCTTTTGCATCTGTCAGGAATACCACTGGTTGTGAAAAATACCCTGTATTTAGTAGTTTCTCTACCGCTATCTTGATGGCTTGAACTTCTGCATCATAGTTGTGACAGTGCTTTCCCGTTGGTAATTTGGCTGTATCCCTGGTATTATTAGGATACTCAATGTACACTCCCGCAACTCCGTTTCTGACTGCGCTTTCTGCTGACCCATCTGTGTAAACACGGACCCAAAGGTTCTGCGGGTATTCATCATCAAGTAAACTGAGGGTGGCTGTTTTGCGCTGCACACTGTTTTGTTCTTCCTTGTCAAATACCCCTTTCACTTCAGTCTTGATGTGTATTGGAAACTTATACTCCTCTCTCCAGGGGGTCCGCTCTGGGACAGCATTTAAGGATCTATCAGTTGCAGGTAAATCAGTGGTTTGTCTGCCGAGCCGTTTGGCCTGGTGGATAAAACTACTTCTCTTTAGTCGTCCCAAAGCTAAATTTTTGAATCTTTCATTCATAGGGTGACTGGGCATACTAAGAAACTTTTCTGCTTGTAAAAGCATCTTGGTGTCTCTGCGTTCACTTAGTGCTTGGGTCATCCCCATTTTCTCCATCACAGCTATAGGTGTTGATTTCATACTGCCTGTGGTAACTCTGAGTGCTTGATTTTGCACTTTGTCTAATTCTTGCAATGTGGTTTTTGATGCCGAACTCCATGCTGTTGATCCGTATTCAAGATGTGGTCGAACACTTTGTTGGTAAACTTTTCTAAGTATTTTCCCGCTAGCACCCCATGTGGTTCCACTTAGTTTTCTCAGAATGGCTACCCTCCTTCTGGCTTTGGTTGCTGCCTTGTTGATGTGTTTTCTCCATGTTAATCTATCATCAAACGTTACGCCGAGGTATGTGGGCTCCTTATCCTCTCTCAGGGGTACTCCATTTATGTGCATGGCGCCTGATTTTTGTTTAGGAGAAAGGGTAAAGAGAGTGGTGCTGCATTTGCCTATGTTGATGCTGACACACCATTTGTCGGCCCATTTAGCCATTGCATCTATGGCTCTTTGTAGCAGTCTAGTAGCCACTGTCGCATTTTCATTTGTACACCAGAGTACCAAGTCATCAGCATACATTGCAGCTTTAATTCCATGGGGTAGTTCAGAAAGCAGGTCGTTGATATAGACTAGGAAGAGTGTGGGGGACAGGACACCTCCTTGTGGGACGCCATGACGCAGCAAAACTTTCTTGCTCTTAAGTCCATCTATCTGTACTCGGGATCTTCTGTTATACATCTTATAGTATGCTTTGACCCATTTGTACATACTCCCATTCACCCTGCAGTCTCTCAGTTTCTTCAGTAGACCTTCTTTCCAGACCTTGTCAAAGGCTTTCTTCAGATCGTCCCCTTAGTGAAATGTTCATTTCTTACAGCTCCAAGCTGCACCCCCATGTCCATCAGTCTAGACAGGGATACGGAGTCATGTCCTTTGGCGTGCTCCTCAGTACGGTAAGTGCAGCGCATGGCATTGATAAAATCACTTCTGGACCAGCCATGGCAACCAGTCTCAGCAAGATAGTCTGCACACTCGTTCCCTTGAACACCTGCATGATCTTTCCATTCATTATGTTCTTCAACGCCTCTTTTATTTTTTTTAATCACTGACCAAAGAAACTGCTTTTTTCTTATAGTTGTATTTAGTTTCTAATGTTTTTAACCCTTTCCAGGCAGTGGCTGTTAGTCATTTTGTTTGTCAGTGGTATCCCAGCATGCATTGACATCAATTTAAAAAAAAAAGATCATTCCATGTTTTTCTATTGTAAAAACAGTATGATCACAATTTAAAAGCATTTACAAATAAAAAAATAAGTGGTTAAGGTGTTTTATTTAAACAGATCACAACAGGAAGAACAAAAAACAGCCAATTCTGTTACTACATACAAATTAGAACAATTTAATTAGTCAAAATTGCAATCAGTCCTACAATTCATTAAAAAGCCACAGATGAGATGTTTTGCCTGGTGAAGAAATCCCCAGCACCAACTGCCATAGACAGCCAAGTTGAGGAAATGCAATAAACACACAGCAAGGGAAAGATCATGCAAAAAAATGGGACGACAGCATCAACAACAGTGTTAAAGAAATGAGGAAGAACTTAAGCAACACATAAAGAGCCTACAGAACCTTTACATCTTTCCCCATTACCTTGAGGAAGAACTTAAGCAACACATAAAGAGCCTACAGAACCTTTACATCTTTCCCCATTACCTTGAGGAAGAACTTAAGCAACACATAAAGAGCCTACAAAACCTTGACCTTGAGGAAGAAGAGAAGAAGCAGAAAATGCAACAGAGTATCAACACTAATGTCCCCATTAGTAACATCCATACCAAATCGCAGAAGTGGATGAACAACCAGTGGCCAGTGAAGAATGAAGAAGATATAGAACATCCATACCAAATTGCAGAAGTGGATGAACAACCAGTGGCCAGTGAAGAATGAAGAAGATATAGAACATCCATACCAAATTGCAGAAGTGGATAAATAACCAGTATTCAGTGAACTTGAAGAATGAAGAAGATATAGAACATCTATACCAAATCCCAGAAATAGATGAACAACCAGTGAAAAATGAAGAAAATACAGCACTTTAACAAATTTTGTCCCCACTAAAGATCTCACACACCTGCCAACCTCATCTCAATAAACCAAATCAATATCTAAAGAAATCACTCTAAGAACATCAGACATTTCCCATGAGTCTTTCTGATGTCCTTCACCTATTTAAAAAAAAAAAAAAAAAAACCAGCCGTGACATATAAGCAGTTGCCAATACAAAAAAACAGGCTCTACTTTTTCTGCTCAGGGGTAGGGGTAGGCGTTTCTGTTCCACTGGTGACCCTGTACGCAGGAAATGTCTCCCAGGGGGTGCCGGTTTCAAATTTGCGGAACTCCTGTGTTAGCTCCAGAGGTTCGACAACCACTCGACCGACAGCGTCATCGTAACGAACCTACAGGAAAGGTCAAAACAGTATCATTACCACAAACCAGTATATTTCAAACTAGCATCTTCATAATCAGCCCACAGGACATTTCAAACTAGCATCTTCATAATCAGCCCACAGGACATTTCAAACTAGCATCTTCATAATCAGCCCACAGGACATTTCAAACTAGCATCTTCATAATCAGCCCACAGGACATTTCAAACTAGCATCTTCATAATCAGCCCACAGGACATTTCAAACTAGCATCTTCATAATCAGCCCACAGGACATTTCAAACTAGCATCTTCATAATCAGCCCACAGGACATTTCAAACTAGCATCTTCATAATCAGCCCACAGGACATTTCAAACCCTCATCTTCATAATAAGCCTACAGGACATTTCAAACCCTCATCTTCATAATAAGCCTACAGGACATTTCAAACCCTCATCTTCATAATAATACTACAGGACATTTCAAACCCTCATCTTCATAATCAGCCCACAGGACATTTCAAACCCTCATCTTCATAATCAGCCCACAGGACATTTCAAACTAGCATCTTCATAATCAGCCCACAGGACATTTCAAACTAGCATCTTCATAATCAGCCCACAGGACATTTCAAACCCTCATCTTCATAATAAGCCTACAGGACATTTCAAACCCTCATCTTCATAATATGCCCACAGGACATTTCAAACCCTCATCTTCATAATATGCCCACAGGACATTTCAAACCCTCATCTTCATAATAAGCCTACAGGACATTTCAAACCCTCATCTTCATAATAAGCCTACAGGACATTTCAAACCCTCATCTTCATAATCAGCCCACAGGACATTTCAAACCCTCATCTTCATAATAAGCCTACAGGACATTTCAAACCCTCATCTTCATAATATGCCCACAGGACATTTCAAACCCTCATCTTCATAATAAGCCTACAGGACATTTCAAACCCTCATCTTCATAATAAGCCTACAGGACATTTCAAACCCTCATCTTCATAATAAGCCCACAGGACATTTCAAACCCTCATCTTCATAATAAGCCTACAGGACATTTCAAACCCTCATCTTCATAATAAGCCTACAGGACATTTCAAACCCTCATCTTCATAATAAGCCCACAGGACATTTCAAACCCTCATCTTCATAATAAGCCTACAGGACATTTCAAACCCTCATCTTCATAATAATACCACAGGACATTTCAAACCCTCATCTTCATAATCAGCCTACAGGACATTTCAAACCCTCATCTTCATAATAAGCCCACAGGACATTTCAAACCAGCATCTTCATAATAAGCCTACAGGACATTTAAGGCATCATTTAAAACCCCCAACAGAAACCCTTACACTCAAGAGGCTGCAGCACAAGACTGGACTACAGGGTGAACATCTATCAAAAGAGGCGCAGCGAGGCATCTAGGAAAAGGGCAGCTGAATAGCGAAGACATGCTAGAAAGACCTGTACAACTGTCCTTCTGGACCTGTATCGCACTTTTGAGTCAGCTCCGGACATACAGACAGTTAACTAGTTTCACACCAGGAAGAGTGGTCTTCATCACTTGTGATGGACAAACAACAACAGGACATTTCAAAACAACATCAGCATAATGAACCAACAGGACATTTCAAAAGCACATTAACATAATGAACCTACAGGACATTTTTAAAAACCACATTAACATAATGAACCTACAGGACATTTTTAAAAACCACATTAACATAATGAACCTACAGAACATTTTTAAAAACCACATTAACATAATGAACCTACAGGACATTTTTAAAAACTACATTAACATAATGAACCTACAGGACATTTCAAAACCACATTAACATAATAAACCTACAGAACATTTTTAAAAACCACATTAACATAATGAACCTACAGGACATTTTTAAAAACTACATTAACATAATGAACCTACAGGACATTTCAAAACCACATTAACATAATATACCTATAGGGCATTTCAAAACCATATTAACATAATGGGTCCCCGGAGCCCAGACTGGGATGTTTCTAATAGAGAAAAAAAATTATATTTTACAAAACCCTATTGGGGCCAGAAGATTTTCATTAGCATTTTCATCTGAATGAACCAACAGGACATTTAAAATAACTCGCAAACTTACCTCAACAAATCCGGAGAGTGGGAAATCCCTTCTCAGCGGATGTCCCTCAAATCCATAATCAGTCAAAATGCGTCTTAAGTCTGGGTGGTCAGCAAAGAATACACCAAACAAGTCCCAGATCTGTGTAGGACAGGAAAATGTGGTGAATGTTGAATTAAGAATCGACATCACAGCACTTGGGACACCCCCATAAGCGCTCTGTCCCCATCTTCAGCAACAAGTGAAGAGTTAAAATTCTGATGGCACCAGTAACTGTCTGAGTGAATATCAGTCTCACCTTTTCGGCCAGATCCCCTTGCAACTCTTTGCAGCGCCACTCTTCTCAGACCGTAATGATCTGTTTGTGTTTCCGCACTGTTCAATCGCTACCAAAGAGCTTTCACAATATCCTTGTCATACATCAATTCACCACCAAGTGGTGCAGAACTGGCTAGTCTATCTGCCTGCTCATTTCCTAACACACCGGCTTGACCTTGAGAAAATATCCAAAGGATGCTAACTACACGGGACCTCTGAAGCGATGCTTGCCACTCTGCACGGAACATGCCTGTCTCCACGTTTCTCAACACGCTCTGTGAGTCAGTTACAATGACAGCATGTGTGTACGGCTAATTCTCAAGCCAGCTGAAGGCAGCAGTGATTGCCTCCACCTCCACTCTCAAACTAGATGTTATGATATCATATGGCAGGCTTTGTTGCACCAAGCGATGTCCATTCACTTAATAACAGATGGATATCTAAATTACGGGTACAAATATTACAGTAACTAACTTACAAGCTGGGCTGAACAGAACAGCCTGGAAATACTCCGCACAGAGCCAGATACAATCACAGCATGGTGATCATTTGAATGTGCAGTAGAGGTGGATTTTTATAAATGGCTGGTGCTATCACAGGTAGACCCAACATACAATGGCTACCAGGAGTGTTCTAGGACAGAACTGGTGACCAGAGGACCAAAGGTGGCAGGCGGAGGCCTAGCAAGTGGCCTACAGATCACTGCCAGTTGTTCTGTATTAATGATCTTCCTGTGCTGGGGCTCAGGCCTCTGAGAAGATACATGTTTTCAAAATTGTGGTCCTTGAGTCAACTATAGTTGAATAGCCCAGTTCTAGGAGAAATTAAAACGTCGAAAGGATCGAACTCAATGCACCGGGTTTTATCCCTTATGGCTCAGTCTCTGCCCGCAGTATGGATAGCCACCTACTGAGAGCGCTGCACAAAGCACGAACACTGTAGCTCCAATGAAGATCCTATCCTTAAAAATTGCATTTGTGAACCAAATGATACAGCCATGAAACAAACCTAGTATCTTCACAGCATCGACCACTCTGCCACACAGACCCCCCCTAGTTCTAGAAAGTAAAGATGGTCAGTGTAATGTTGACCACTCTGCCACACAGACCCCCCCCCCCCCCCCCTAGTTCTAGAAAGTAAAGACGGTCAGTGTAATGTTGACCACTCTGCCACACAGACCCCCCCCCCCCCCCAGTTCTAGAAAGTAAAGACGGTCAGTGTAGTGTTGACCACTCTGCCACACAGACTCCCCCCCCCCCCCCCAGTTCTAGAAAGTAAAGACGGTCAGTGTAATGTTGACCACTCTGCCACACAGCCCCCTAGTTCTAGAAAGTAAAGACGGTCAGTGTAATGTTGAGCACTCTGCCACACAGACCCCCCCCCCCCCCCTAGTTCTAGAAAATAAAGACAGTCAGTGTAATGTTGACCACTCTGCCACACAGACCCCCCTAGTTCAAGAAAGTAAAGACAGTCAGTGTAATGTTGACCACTCTGCCACACAGACCCCCCTAGTTCTAGAAAGTAAAGACGGTCAGTGTAATGTTGAGCACTCTGCCACACAGACCCCCCCTAGTTCTAGAAAGTAAAGATGGTCAGTGTAATGTTGACCACTCTGCCACACAGACCCCCCCCCCCCCCCCAGTTCTAGAAAGTAAAGACAGTCAGTGTAATGTTGACCACCCTGCCACACAGACCCCCCCCCCCCCCCACTAGTTCTAGAAAGTAAAGATGGTCAGTGTAATGTTGACCACTCTGCCACACAGACCCCCCCCCCCCCCACTAGTTCTAGAAAGTAAAGATGGTCAGTGTAATGTTGACCACTCTGCCACACAGACCTCCCCCCCCCCCCCAGTTCTAGAAAGTAAAGACAGTCAGTGTAATGTTGACCACTCTGCCATTGAGACCCCCCCAGTCCTAGAAAGTAAAGACAGTCAGTGTAATGTTGACCATATCACTCATTGAGTGCAAATGGTCTACAACATACTGTAAGCAACCATCAGTTCCTGGGGACCATGGAGTTGTACCGCTGGTTTTGGCAACAGCCTCTGCTATGACTGTAAAGTCCAATTGTCTGGTTTCTATAGCTTGCTGTGTTTAGCTCATTTCAAACTGTGACAGTTCATCTTTTACTGTCTGCCTCCAAAGGAGATGGTCTGCAGCTGATCTCTCCTAAGTGTCTGTGTCAATGCTGATATCTTTCAGGTCACATTGGCATATGTCCTAACAGCATAGCTTTGACCTTCATAAGGTCTTATTCCTGTTACTAGTTCCCCATACACAGATCCTTTGGAATATGACCGCCCTTCATGTGAGAGACATGTCCCAACCAACGCTGGCATCTTTGCTTCAGCAGAAAGTATCTTCTTCTTCAACATTCCGAGCCGTTGAGGTTCATTGCTGCAGATATCACCCATCTCCACTCATCTCTCTGGTTAGCCTTCTCTTTCCAGTTGGTGACACCAAGTGTTTGCAGGTCTGAATGGACATTATCTCTCAATTGTATGTTTGGTCTGCCTCATGATTTGCACCCATTCAGCTCCCTTGTGTATACAGTTTTTACCTCTCTATCATCTGACATTCACTCAATATGCCCTTAGGCATGTCACAGCAGAAAGCAAACTGTTCTATAATACACAGATCTAGCTCCATATTCCTGAAGTCCAGCAGCTAATTTATCATCATAATCCTCTTGTTTTGTTATAATGTAATGAGACTTTACAAACACCCTGTATTACAGGATTCTATAATTCAGATCTAGCTCTATATGCCTAAAGTTCAGCAACTAATTTATCATCACCATCCTCTTATTTCGTTATAATTATGTAATGAGATTTTGCAAACACCCTGTATCACAGTTCTTATTCTTCTTCTTCTGTTACACCTTGTACCTCATCAAAGTGTTGGGGAGAGATGTAATATTCGTTGATGAACTCTGTCAAGAGCACTATTAAGACTGATGTTACATTTCTGTAAGGCTGTTCTTAATGCCATCACTCCATATTTTCCAAGGTCTTCCACTCGCTCTATACCCGTTGTAACGCTTTAGTGTGGCTCGCTGTGGCGGATAGTACCAGGGCATTCTTGTTAGGTGTCCAAACCATTTCATTTGTTGATTTTTGACAGAGAAATATGTATTATAGTTATGCTTTGTAAAACATGCTGTTTGTGCACACCACTGCATACAGCCAGAAAAAAAAGCCCTGGTTCACATCAAGGCATTTTTTTTTTCAAAATTGTCCTGGGTATACCTGTCAACCCAAACTAATAGATACTAAGAGATGTTTTGGGGGGCTAACAGTTGACGTGTGATACTGACCACATCTTAACGACTGCTGACTGATCTACAAAATCTGAGCTAATGACACATACCCAATGTGTCTCAAAGGATGAAAAGGGCACTCTAGCCTTCTTCTTCATCTTCTTCCGTGTTTGGCCTTAAAAAGGCAGCTGGCACATTGTGTTGTGGTGTTGCCTGGCCAGATGGATGGGGTGAGATTATGCCGATCATGTGTGGATCATGACAGCCCACGCTTACCAGTACGGCACATGATGATGATGTGATTTACAGCAGTGTGGCGATATTTGCTACTTTTGGCCTAACACATCTTATTTCAGCAAACCCATTGGTCACCTTTTACAACAAGCCTGTTGGGGAGAAGTGGGTCTACTTTTGTTCATACACACGGCTAGATGCTGGTTTTTATGGTATTGTATCGTATCGTATAAAATCAAAAAAAAATTCCAAGCTTAGTCCTTTTTTAGCCGCCTGATGGCCTGCTTTTTCAAGGACGGTTCCTTTGCTATCTTATTTATTTATCTTCCTTTGTGGTGAGCAATTTCACCTGATTTTGTTTATTTGTTGCCTAAGTTCTGGTTCTGAGGGGCCTGGTTCCTGTTTAATTGGCTATTTGCTAGCTGTTGCACTGTTCATTTGTGTTAGTACCAAGTCAGCTCCCAGTCACACCGCCGCGAAACAAACAGTCCCGCACACTGAGCGTCCTAAACAAGGCCCCCACAGGACGACTGTCACAATCTTGTTGTTGTGCGCAGCCGTTAAATATGTAGAGGAGGTAACAAAGGTTGCAAAATAATTAGAACGCCCGAAGGTGCAAAGATATTTTATAGTTAGGTCGGAAGATGGAGAGAGACAGATAGCTTGCTAGGTTGAGTAAGAGGTCCTTGGTGAGTTGAGTCCCGCGCACTGCCTGCTCTGCCTGGGCTGATCTGAAAAAATACTGATTTATATATTAATCATATGTGGGGAGGGGCAGTGGTAGTTATAAGAAAAGCGTAGTAGCCTGGAATTCCACAAGTGCTGGTCCCCTTATTGTGCAATGCCCTTTTAGCTGGTTTGCCTCAGAGCATCGGGAATCCTTTGGTGGGTTTCGTCGGTTTCTAGCTGAAAATAGGTTGATTAGCATTTAAACATACGTGGGAGGGGTGGGGGAGTTTACAAAATGGAATGCATAACGGACTGAAATCCACTAGTGCTGGTCCCGGTTTTTATGGCCCAGGATATGCCATTTAATGAAGCACTGTGTGTAAATAGGGGGTCCGGCCGGATCACTGTACTCAGGCAAAGAGCAAGATGGACATGTAACCAGATTACAGCTAGTTTCATTGGAGCTCTGTGCTGGCTGCTGAAGATGAGGATGGAGCACATGGAAATGCCCCGAGTGCTGTGATGTCAGTTCTTGACTCTACTTAACATAGAGAGGTTCTTTAAAGTGTATTCAGTTAAATTTCTGAGATAACTGCTGCACATACCTCTCTTTCATACCAGTTAGCTCCCTTATAGACAGAGCAGGCAGAGTCGATCGGAGTCACTTCATCTGTATATGTTTTGACACGGATTCGAGAGTTGAACTGGAGTGACAACAACATATACACAATCTGGAAAATAGGCAATGAAATGCATCAGTTATACATACTGGTACAGCGTTGAAGAATTTCTGTGTCTACCATATGCTCCTTAATAAACGGCAACTGAAACTATTCAATAGTAGTCGAATGGAGTATGGCCATAGCTATACAAAGATTAAACAGCATTACAAATTTATGGTTATGCACTAGCATGGAAATAGAAGTCCAAAATTTCGAGAGCATTTATCTTCCCTGCAGCAACAAACAGACATAAGTCATGGACTATCTTGCAGTCATTATGGAAGAAAAAAGGAGCTTTTCAGGACCTCAACCCACGACCTTCAAATCTGCAGGCGAGCGTCTCACCACTACACTACAGTGACTCCCTCTATTTTCTATGTAGATACTGGTATTTCTGGCCCAGGATATTCCATCTATTCATCACTTGTGTGGTTCGACCTCTGGTTCTGCTTCCATTGTGTCGAAGTGCCAGAGCTTTCTGTGATACACCATCTGGTTTCCAAACCATTTTCTTCTTCGTGTTCACTGGCTGTAAACTCTGGTGGAAAGTCCTGGTTGTTCATCCACTTTCGGACTGCAGCTCTGTTTCAGAACCTGAGTGTTGCATGCGCAACAGATCTGACTCATCTGTATGCAGACTGTTGGTTCCTTGCCTCTCAGGCAGATGCACTCCGACTTAAAAGAAAGCTCCTAATTAGTCGACTCTCACGACATGCTTTTGGCTAGGCAGTGGTTCTATTCTTGTTCTCCCTATAACAGAGTCCCGAACCCACACGGGGAGTCCAAACCATTTGAAACTAGCACTATATACCCCAGGGCTATTCAACTGTCGGCCTGCTGGCTAAATCTGGCCCGCGGAGGCAAAGCAAGTAGCCTGTGAATCATTCCCCATTTTAACGTATTAGTGATCTTTCTATGCTTAGGTTCAGAAATCTGGCCTGTGACGGTCCCCATCTTCAAAATGTTGGCTCCTGGGCACATTTAGGTGAATAGCTCTCATACGACTCACAGTATGTAAAACAGCCCTGAATTGACTAACCTCAAATCTGTTCTCCAGTGATGGTTTATCTACTCCGGCAATATCCACAATGTTGGTAAACTGGGCATTTGTGTGGTCCTTTAGAAATGTCAACACTGGGATCACTCCTTCAGGGTGAATCATTACCTACAGTAGCCAATGAAATACAACCTTGTCATTTAAAATAACCAATGAAATACAATCTTGTCATTCAAAATAACCAATGAAATACATTTTTTTTTTTTCAATAACTAATGAAAAACAATCTTTTCAGTTAAAACCACCAATGAAATACAATCTTTTCAGTTAAAACAACCAATGAAATCTAATTTTTTTTTTCAACTGAAATATAGATTTTTCGAGTTAAAATAGCCAATGGAATACAAGTTTTCACATTCAAACAGTCAGATAAATACAAGCCTTTAAATTAAAGTAACAATATTTCGAAATGCTATTTGCCTGAAACAGCCAACCACATGCACTGTAGGTAGGTAGGTAGTTGTACCCCACCAGGACATCACACAAGCGGTAAACACCCGGTGACACAAAGTGCAACATTAAGTGTAAAAGTAAAAAACCTTTTTTCTACACCTTTAGGTGTACTGGGTATATAGGGCTAGACCTATATTTTATAGACCAATCGGCACTTGGTGGGTCATGGGGTCAGCACCACGCCGGCCGCCTTCACCTCCTAGGACTTTACCTGGTACCCACTCAAGGCTGGGTCAACCTGGCAGCGGGAGTCACCGTGGCGTGGCTGCTAGACGCCCGCGCGCGGATCCGAAGGTCGTGGGTTCACTCCCTGGCAGAGCCGGACTTTTTTTTTCTCTTCAAAAATGACCTTGAGTCCCAGGTTGGCCCCGCCTTGAGTGGGTAACGGGTGCATTCCTGTGAAGTAAAGGCCTCTGACGTGATGCAAACCATGTCACCTATCTTGTGCCGATCGGGACCCTTTCTTTTTTTTTTTTCAACAACCTGGGGCCCAAAGTCATTTTTAGAAGAAAAAAAAGCCTGGCTTCACCTGGACCTGTGCCCATGACCTTCCGAAACCACAGCCATAGTACAAGCTTATTTTTTTTTTTTCAAATAAAAACCTTAAAATGTGACTGGAATTAGTTACAGGTCATTGTCTTGTAACCCGTCAATACAGTTGTTAAGGATGTCAAGAGTGTTAAGCATGTGACATGCTTACAGATGAAAACAGTGCACTCCAACACTGACATCATTATGACAGTTTAAAGATGGCCACCCCACCTTCTGACATGGAAACTGCAACAGTTAATATTATCAGAAGAAAAAAACTGGCCACACCTGAAAACAGTAAACCTGCCTATCCATCATAGTGACCGGAAACCATGTGGGTTCCAGTGCAAGGGCAATCTAGTTACATTATTATCAGGCTGAATACACATGGCTACTCACCTCTAATTCATTGTGATGAAGAACTTCCACTTTCTGCACATACTTTGGTAAACATTCAGCTACATATGCTCCAAAGTCAACTAGCTTCTGTCGCAGCACAGGATTCTCTGGAGCAACAGTGGCTATTGGAGATAAAGATGAAGGAAGTGATAGAGGTTTAAAATACATATACAAAAGGCAAGAGGAGCTTTCATAGCACTAGAACATTTGTGGAAGTCAAAAGAAATTAAAACTATTACTTTAAAAAAAAATTGAATTCTAATGTGTTGTCCCCCGTGTGGGTTCCTGGGCCCCATTGTGGGGAAAACAAGAATAGACCCACTGACTCCCCAAAAGCATGTCGTAAGAGTCGACTAATTGGGGAGCTTCCTTTGAAGTCGGAGTGCATCTGCCAGAGAGGCAAGGAACCAACAGTCTGTATTCAAGAGAATGAGATCTGTAAAACTGTTGCACACTCAACACTCAGGTTCTGGAGCAGGACTGCAGTTCAGTAGTGGACGAGCAACCAAACCAAAACTTTCCGCCAGAGTGTACAGCTGGTGAACACGAAGAAGAAGATTACTGTTGTATGGAGCGGAATAATAGAGAACAACTAAGGCAATTACTAATAAACTGCAAACATTTGTTGACTGGTGTCTGCACAGAATAGAGGGAATTAAATCGTATGATAGAATCACTAATGTAGACCTTTGGGAGAGAACTAAATAGCTCCAGTGGATCAAGAGGTGGAGAAAAGACGCTGGTTTTGGATAGGATGCAAGTAGAAAAATACCTGAGAACAATATAACTAGAATGTCTTTGCACTGAAATCCACAGGGGCGAAGAAATAATGGAAGACCAAAGAACACATAGAAAAGGGAGCTAGAGAGTGAAGTTAAAAGAAGGGGAGGACATGGCAAAAGCTGCATGAGATTGCGAATGACAGAACTACTTGCCGTGAGCTGGTTGAGGGGCTGTGCTCCATTGGGGGCTAGAAAGGTATAAGAAGAAGAATTGTGGCTAAAGATGATACTAGAGAACAGATCACAAATGAACAACAAATGACTGTTAATTAATCTATAGAAAAATATATTATGTTGTGTTATCTTATGTTATCACAATCCCCATGTAGACGTTATGTTATATATATATATATATATATATATATATATATATATATATATATATATATATATATATATATATATATATATATATATATATATACACACACACACACATACATATATATATATATATATATATATATATATATATATATATATATATATATATATATATATATATATATATATATATATATATATATATATATATACATATGTGTGTGGGTGTGTAAACTGCATACCAGCCCCCCTCCCCAGGTTCCAGAGTACCGGTCCAGTTTTGGTGCAATTAACATTTCTTAGCCAATATAACTGGCACAAAAAAAGCCAGACAAGAATTATAGCCGATGCTGCTCGCAGTAGGTTGAATGTAGTCAATTTTTGTGTTTTGTCTTTCATAAATGGATGGCTGGATCACTAAACACTGGGCATTCCCCTGTGTACTCATGCTGCAGCCATTGGTACTTCTACTGATTGTTCTCGAGAGAAATTATTTAGTGTCTCCTGTCTTGGCCTCAAAGATGACGTAAATGTGTTTTACCAAGCTTTACTCATAGGTCATGCAATCATGTTAGCATCAGAGATTCATCCATTTAAAAAAAAGAGTTAGATAACTCTTTCTGCTTTCAGCATCAGGTTTTAAAGAGGTACTGGGTGCCAGTCTTAGTTTGTGCTACACAGATTTTGGTATAAACCACCTCAGATATTCCATGCATCCATTGCTTGCATAGGCGACCTCCTTCGGGTATCTCTGCAGCTCATCCTTAGTAGTTGCCACGAGAATTTGTCATTCTGTTCTTTCTAGTGCAATTTTTTCTATATCATCTTAAATATTTCACATATAAAATAAGTCACTGCAAAAATTCCTTCCCATTACTGAATGTGCTTTATACAAAAAATAAATATCTATGAAAGATAAGTGGTTGAAAAGGCCAAATGAAAGAGAAAATGTTTTTAAAATAGGGTTTCTTTGTACTTTCTAATCAATGATGCTTTATATGGCCGCAGCATTTCAATTTTTATGAGATAAAGCCAGTTTCAATCAGTGTTAAAATGTGGTAACTTGTCAGTGTTTTTCTTCGTCTTATAGTCCATGCTATGTGGGGTTTACAGTCATGTCTGTCCACAGCCTTCTGTCTCGTGTACTTTCAATTAGTTTTTACACCGATGATCTTCCATGCCATGATGTTAAACTGTCCAGCATCTTCTCTCTGGGTCTCCCTCCACCTCTTTTCCCCTCCAACTTTCCCACCGTCACAATGTTCTCCAGTTTTCTCCTCATGACATGACCAAGGAATATAGATTCTCTCCTTCTGATATGGTTAATCAGTTCTGTTTTTAAGTAAATTTCTTTCAAGACAATCCTTAATAATCTCCTCTTATGTCATGCTTGTTAACGGGCAGTGAGTTTATTCTTTTCTTCCCTTAAAACGGGCCTTTGGAACCCACGAAGGGAAGACCAACCACCTTCTTCACCTCCTCTTTTACCGCTTCGGGTGGTGAGGGAGATATAAGGTCCTGCTTTGTGCTCTTCTGGCTGCTTCAACCATGGACCCATCATGAGAGTTTCTCTGATGTTATCTTCCCATCTTGTTTTTGGTCTACCTCTCGCTCTAAATCCTTTTTTGGTATATGCCTTGTATGGTATAGCATCAGAAGGCATTCTCTCCAAGTGGGAAAACCATTTGATTTGCTGTCTTTGTATTTAATTTAGAATTGGTTCCGTGCCGACTTGACCTTATATGACATCATTCCTGATTTTATATTTTCTGGTCACTCCTACAGCCTACAGTCTTTCTCAGACACCTCATTTCCATGGTTACTAATTTTCTTTCAATGTTTGTTGTGAGTGACCACGTCTGGCACTGGTAGCATAGGCTGGAAATGAATATGCCTTGTATGAGATGTCTCTTTGTGCTGATTGGGACTGCTGTTTCTTTGTGCTGATTGGGACTGCTGTTTCTTTATGCTGATTGGGACTGCCTTATGCTGTCCCATTACTTGACCTGCTTTACTGCATCAGATATCTATTTCTTCGTCCAATTTACCATCCTCAGTGAATGTTGTTCCAAGATATTTAAACTCAGATGCATATCTAATGTATGTATGCTCTAATGCTATGTTTAAATCCTGCTTCTTTCTTCCTACTGACATTACTTGTCTTTTTAATGATTCTCAAGTAAATTATTTGATTTACATTCTTCATTAATGAATGTGGCCAACCACCGATGCCCTAAATACCGGTCTTCTTCTTCTTCTGTCGTTCGCCTGAAATAAGTTGTCTATTTGAGCAATTTTGTCTCTTGTATAAATTTCACTGTTGTTGTTAGTTCATTCAGTAGTCCATAGAGTTTACGTTCTACTGTTGTTCTTTCTGGCCAAAAGGTTTGCCTTAATGTGTCATTGGGGTCCTAATGGAGCAATGATGCGCAATAAAAGACTCTTAATGTCTATTAGCCTCTCTTGCTCAAGGGGACCTCACCTTCACGTGGTGGACACTGTTCCTCCCAGCAATCCAGTTGAAGGTTGGGATCACAACTCCCAGCAGGAAACTGGATGGGACAACAAACGAGGTAAAGGCGAAAGACGAAGGGATGAGCCTATTCTCCTCGAGTAGGATCACAGTCTATCCTAGCAAAACAAGGAGCTGAAGTCAGAGGCAACCAGCCAGGAAGCGCACCACAGCAATCAGGATGCCACGCACACACGCCATGGAAATACCAGTCATATCACTACCTGAATGTTTCTACTGCCAATCTTTCCTGTGTTCTAGTTGCAGGCTCTGATGGAAGCAAATACAGAAGCTCTAATACAGTGGTTCTCAACCTTCCTAATGCTGCGACCCTTTCATACAGTTCCTCATGTTATGGCGACCCCCAACCATACAATTATTTTTGTTGCTACTTCATAACTTGAGTGAAAATGTGTTTTCCTATGGTCTTTGGCAGCTCCTGTGAAAGGGTCATTTGACCCACACAAAAAGTCCTGACCCACAGGCTGAGAACTGCAGTGCCGTCTTTGCACAGGGGTCCTGCCCCGTCACTTGCATAGGAGTCTCATGAGCAAACGACCCCATGCTAATCTGGGTATGTCAAGTGACCTGACATAAATAACAATTTTAATTATGTGAGTGGTTGCTGTAAGGGCCTAGCACACTGGTTTGCCCAGGGGTCCATAATACTGTTAAGACTGCTTTGACAGAAAGCCCAAAATATCGCTGCCAACTTACGTTTTGTTTCCTGTTTCGCTGCTGTTGTTGTAGTTTGGTAGCGCTGAAGCCAGTTTACTGAATTTACAATAGGGCCCACAGTAAGAACTGCAAGCAAAAAGCATAATCATTAGCAAACTTAATACTCATACTAAATATATATATATTTGAAATTTATATCAATTTAAAATTGGCGAATCAGCCATGTGCACATGTGGACTGACACCTGAGACAACAGATCATGTGCTCCAAGACTGTCCCAAATACAACATATCCAGGCAAAACTTTTGGCCAAGAGAAACATCGGTGCAAGTCAAACTTTACGGGTCGCTGAGTGAATTACAAAAGACAGTGAAATTCATACTAGAGACAACATTGCAGATATAGATAAATTATTTTGAGCGAACGAAAGAAGAAGAATAATTAGCTATAATCTTGTATTTAATTAACATTATCATTTAGGAGCTGCTGCAGGTGTAGACAAACATGACTACTGACAGCTCATAGCATAGACTAGGCCAGTGTTTTTCAAGCTGGAGGGTGGGGGGGGGGGGGGGGGGGGGGGGGGGGGGGGGGGGGGGATGCAATAAAGTGTCAAGCAATTTTGGGTACTCCTCTGAATAAAAAACGGTCCCAAATTAACTAGGTCAAAAACCAACCTTTACAGGACCTCAACAGTTGCTTCCATTTGAGTTGCATCCATAACCCTTCAATTGTTTGAGTGTTAGGGCTAACCCTAATTCATTAATATATATATATGTCAGCAGGTCTTACATCTACAGCTGACAGTTTATCAATCGGTAGAGCATTATTGCTAACCTGAGTCAGAGCTGATGGTTTGCTGGAAATTAAGGCCCTGTTAGTGTTAGGGTATATTTTTAAACATGATCATTCAGGTCCATCATTCGGAGGAGAGCCCAATTTTGAAATTCAGTGTACTTGTACTTGTAATAATCTGTTGTTCTAACAGTGTTCACTTTTTCAGTTTAATTATAAATAAAAACAATGTAAAACTATTCACAAAACAAAAAGCCAAGGATATTTTTTTACATGAGCAGTTTGTACATCTATGTGGTTAACCCTACCAGACCGCTGGCCCGATTTTCCAGGAATTTCTTAACCTGACGCTATACAGCTGGCCCTAATTTTCGGCTTTCATAGTAGGGGACTAAAAATAACCACCCAATCATTATCAATCCTCTTTGTTAGACATTGCAAATGTCTGCTGGCATGTGTTTGGATTATATTTGTGGTGTTTTACGTGGAAAAATTCTGAAAATTCACAATAAAACCAGCGGCTGATGAACCAAACACTTCAACTGGAAAGTAAAGTAGTTCTAGGCTTTTCACAGTCAAACAGGTGATCGATATTTTGGTTAATTCAGACTCTGCGAATTGATAATTTCATAAAGAATACGTTCTCGAAGTGACACAGTCAGTGAGAGTGCAAATGATGAGGAAAATCTTGAAAATTATAATTCTTGAAATAGATCGATAGTAGGAGAAGGGGGTGTGTCCCTTAACAGCAACATCTGGTGTTCATTTTGTGAAACAAAATTGATCCTGCTGAGTGGATTCGCACACAAAGGTGGAATATTGGCGCTAGATAAAAGGTAAGCCTATTTTCTACAATGTCTCCAAGTTTTATCATATTCTAGCCACTTGTTGGCATGTAACTAAATTTTGTGTACATCAAGTTGGTTTTTTCGCGTTAATGCCCAGGAGCTCAGGTAATAGGGACAGTTAGGTTCAGGGCCTCAGGTCTGGTAGGGTTAAAGTTACGTTAATCTCCCCAAACAGAGTAGGTCATTTTTGTGTGTCCCACTCTGTTGTTTGCTTTTGTTTTTGTTGTCTCGCATTAACGTTTTCATTCCGAGAAAGAAAATGCATGTGACATAGGTTGCAGCACTCTCTAGGGAGCTGCGGGGGGTGGGGTGTTAGGGCCAGTTTTTCCATGTTTTTGGAGTGTTAAAAGCGCTGGCGTGCTGAAATATAAAACACGTGAATCAACAGCATTCGGAACACCCCTGTAACCTTGTGCCAAGGTGACAGGTTCAGGAACTACCAATCAGAAGTGAGCTAGTGTGTATGTGGGCAGAGTGTGGGGAGACTAATGTTACATTTATTTACCCATCTACTGTTAAAAAATAATTTTCTTTTTCACTCGTGTGTCTTTCTCCAAGTTTTTGTTAAAGGTACTTAGGATTCTTTTTTCTTTTTTTTTTAAATCAATTTTTTTTAACAGCTGCTTCTTTATGGCCACACCTCCATTCTTCTCCTGCCTTAGTCTTTGTATGGTGACCTCTAGCATGGGTCTTTTAAAGATGTTCCTGTTCTTTTGTTTTTTAATAATTTACCCCAAACATGGAAGTTCACAGGAGAGCCGATTAACATTTCATTATGTGGATCATATCCCAGAAACTACGTTCAACTGTTTAACAGTTATACTAGGGCGCCGCTACGTTAGGGTTACAAGTCAAACTAACCTGCAGTCCAATGTTGGCAGATGTGTATTTCACCACTACCTAAACACTAAAAAACTAGTTAGTAAAAAAAAAACTTTCCTCTGGATTGTAACAATCTATCGCTCATCAGAAAGAAAACAATCAATGTTCATTGTTTTCTTAATAATGAGTGACAGAAGCAACTAGGCTGACGGTAGCCACTACAGTTTCGGAAATTTGCGATCTTTTTGACAATTTCCGTTGCCATAGAAACCGTTTGAAACTTGTTTCGGAAATGTTGGCTGGGGTTTTGGGATGGGTCCTAATCTCTCATGAAATTTTGCGATTGGTGTGGTTTTCACCCACTCTAAATAGCTGAAAACGGCGGGAAGGAACTCGATTAACAGCGCATGTCTACGACAGCCGGACGTCCTCTGTTTTTCTGTTAGTCATCAGTTTGATTGAAAATAGCGGTAAATTCGAGGTTGGCTTTAGGCTTAACTGTTACTGTACCTGGTAATGCTAGTTATAATTGAATTCTCCGTCCAATTTTACATTTGTGTATAAAATTTATTTCTGGTACGTGGCTAGGTAGATGTACAGTGACATTTTTTCAGGCAATCGCATGCGGCTGAGTGAGCTGAGTCTCATTGCCTGCCATCTTGTCCAATGACAGTCCAATGTCAACAAAGCCGATACAGAACTGCGCAGAAGGTTGCGCAGAGAAAAACTTCTTGTTTCTGGGTCACAAGTTTTAGCGGCTGTTTCTTACCTCTCATCTCCACAAAAACCTACATATCTCAGCTCAGAAATGACATACAAGCCTAAATGAGGTACCATTGAAAAGAGATTGTTTACAGCTATCTAACTGTGCTGGTTTTATTGGTATAGAGGGCATTTTAAAAATTTTACTGAAGTAGCTACTGACGGATCCACTTTTCAAAACGCAAGTTCTCCCCTTGTAGGTTTTGTTTTGGGGCGCTGTTTAGGTAAGGCAAAACAAGAATAGACCCACTGCCTAGCCAAAAGCATGTCTAAGAGTCGACTAATTGGGAGCTTCCTTCAAATTCGGAGTGCATCTGAGTGAGAGGCAAGGAACCAGCAGCATGCACACAAATGATTCAGATCTGTAACAAAACGGATGCAAACGCAACACACAGGATCTGGAACAGGACTGCAGTCCATCAGTCCAGAAGAAGTGGACAAAAAAACCAGTATTTTCCGCCAGAGTTAATAGCTGGTGAACGTGTAGAAGAAAAAGAAAACGCCAGTTTAGAAAACTGTTAAATATCACTCAGTAGCACAGTTAAAGACAGCACTCTTAATAATGCAACTACCATTTTTCTGCGACAAATGTCTTGCTACTGGGCGAAACAGTCCCCAAAGTCTGGATGCCATTTTCAAGGAGAAACTTTTATCCGGACATTACCGGAACTCTCGCTTGATGGAAACCACAGAAAGTTCTCACACCTGTAAACAGTCGGATATTCGTAGTTTATTTCTTTTGGCAAATTATAAATACAATCTTTATACCGACATTAGGTTATCAATGTCAGACTTGGACATTAACAAAAGAATACGAGAGAAGACTAACCACCTGTGAAATGAGATGTTTGAGAATGGCTGCGAATAAAACCAGAAGAGATCGAATGAGAAACGATGTGATTACAAGAACTATTGGAACCATACCCATCGTTAAATTTATTGAGAAGCAAAGAATGAAATGGTTTGGTCACCTAATGAGAATGGAACCAATGATGCCAGCATCAAGAGCATACAACATGTAAATCGAAACACCAAGAGGCAGGGGAAGATCAAGAAGAAGATGGATTGAAGGAGTCACGGACAACTTGAGACTTCATAACATCACGGCATATGAAGCGACTGAGCGCGCCCTGGCTCGGTTGCCGATCATCTGATAAACTGCGACGCCTAGCGGCACAAGCAGATTTTGACAAAAGAAGAAAGAATTTCTTTTGGCGATTTAAGAGTCGATCTAGACCAAGTACAACTGTCTTTTGGGGTTAAGAGTATATGATCTGGCAATTTTGAAGTGCAGCTGAATTAAGAATCGACGTCATAGCACTTGGAACATTTCCTTGTGCGTTCCATTCCCCATCTTCATGGGCTAACGCAGAGTACCATGTGTATCTTGCATTTCCTCTCAGTGTTGAGCGTCTAGGCTCTAAAATAAATAGCAATGGAGACTGTTGTACAGAAATTAAAAGGAGGATGGCCATAGCAATGCAAATATTGAACATCTTAAAAGTCTATGGTTAAGCACCAGCAAGGAGATAAAAATTAGAATTTTGAGAGCATGCATCTTCCCTGTGGCTACATACATATGTGAGTCATGGACTATCTCTCAGTCCTTAAGAAAGAGAATAGGGAATTTTGAGCTGAAATGCTATAGAAAGATTCTCAGAATATCTTGGACAAAGAAGATCTGAACATGAAGGAAGATTGGCTAATAAACAGTATCCTTTCTCGAAAGCTGAAATATTTTAGTCATATCAAGCGCCACGACGGATTGAAAAAAATTATAGCAGAAGGCATTGTACCAGGAAGGAGGGGCAGGGGCCGACCGAAACGAAGATGGGCACAGGATATAAGTGACTCCTTGAGTGTGAAAGTGCATGAGGCGGGAGAACTGGTGAGAGACCGAGTTTCTTTCAGGCAGACTGTGATGAGAGCGACGTTCTGCAAAAGACCTGCTACATGATGATGTTGAGCGTCAGCCAGGTCTCCTGGTTACCCCCGGCTGCATCATGTTCTTCGACCGCGATTATCAGTTTGTGCTTTCGCGCAATTCACTGGTTCTCAGAGGTCTTCAGAGCATCTAGCTTGTCATGCATCAATTAACTAACAAGTGGTGCTGAGCCAGACAGTATGGACATTTAGATGATGATTGTCAAAAAATGTTGGGAGTCTTCTAGGTAGACATACAACTCCTTCTTTGTACACCGACTGTAAGCTCGTTTAGAAAGTCCTGGCTGTTCGTCCATCTGGACTTTGGCTTTGTGGCAGGACCTGAGTTTTGCGTGTATATCCGTTTTACTGAGTGATTGGGCAGGTACACTCCGACTTCAAAGGAAGCCCCCACTAAGTCGACTCCTACGACATACTTGCTGAGGAGGCAGTGGGTCTATTCTTCCCCCCCCCCCCCAACCTCCATATTGGGGCCCCGAAAACCATACCAGGTTAGTTGCGTATCCTTTACAGTACGTTGCAGAACCAACCCCAGCAGCCCCTGGCTGTTGTGTGGTTTCTCTAGGAAAATTTACGTCTAGTAATTTGCCATTGCTTACTGGACCGTCGGTCCCCTGATACCACTGTCGAAATCAACGCAAGGCGCATGGTCCGCCCCTTCCTCTCCCCTCCTTCGCAATACTTCTTCCTTTCTGAGACGTACTGACAACATCAACACATTCCAGAAACAACAGTCGTTCACAGAAAAAAAAGTTACGAAAAGAAGCCTGTGTATTTTCGATTGGGAGACGGTGTGCCTACCGCGTCAAACGAACCTGGCCACTTTTCGGCACTCTGTGTATATGTGGAGAAGGAAGACATCTCATAACACCTCTACAACATAGGACAACCCTTGGGAACCCTTGCGATATCTCGCGACCGACGAGCTGGTGCGACTTTTGTCTGTAGCCGACTTTTCTTGACGCCAGAAAGACATGGTTGTGATACTCGCCACCGCCATGGGCTGGGATTCCAGTACTTCTCTTTAGCCCAGTATTAGCTGTGAGAATTGCATGGAAAGACAGAAGGTGGCAACCAGGAACAAGAACTGTTGTAGCGCGGTGGTTACTTGCCGACCCGGTAGTCGTAAGTTCAAGTCTTCACTGAGACTGATTTTTTAAATTAAATATCATTCACTGGCACCTTTCCGTCTTCCTAGACGATAGTGTTATATTGCGCTATGAGGAGGCATGAGACTCACAGCCCATGGCGATATCGAGTGTGACTAGCAAGACCCGCCCGTGTCAAGAAATATCTTCTCTTTAGCCCAGTATTAGCTGTGAGAATTGCATGGAAAGACAAAAGGTGGCAACCAGAAACAAGAACTGTTGTAGCGCGGTGGTTACTTGCCGACCCGGTAGTCGTAAGTTCAAGTCTTCACTGAGACTGATTTTTTAAATTAAATATCATTCACTGGCACCTTTCCGTCTTCCTAGACGATAGTGTTATATTGCGCTATGAGGAGGCATGAGACTCACAGCCCATGGCGATATCGAGTGTGACTAGCAAGACCCGCCCGTGTCAAGAAATATCTTCTGCAATGATAGCATGAGATTTCAGGACCATTGTTGACAACATTTGTGTTTGATCAGTTTCTTTTCAGACCCTCAGCTCTCATCCTTTCTGCAATCATTTCTTCCTTCAGTCTCATTCCCTTCCTGATATGCCCTTTCTACACAACACGGTCCATGTCATTTTGTTTCCATGAGTCCGCCTCAGTACCTGTATCATTCATGTCCCGCTTGCACACATCTTTATATCATAGTAGAGGTCGGCCTAGACATCTTTTTTTCTGTCTTTAATTCACCATAAAGGATGTCTTAGGAACTTTGCCATCCTCCATTCTCCAGGTGTGACCCAGCCACTTGAGCCTTCGTAGACAGAGCATGGAAAAGACTAAAATTAAATATAGCTCAACACTAAATACCAGAAAGTATTGCAGGAAAAAAGGCAGTTCTGGTGATACTGTCAGCAACCCCCCCCCCCCCCCCAAAACTGGGTTATAAAATACATAACTGGCATCATATACATCGTATACATCTTTCTAAATATCTTCGAAATGTAAGTTGAAAACATTTTATTTTTGGTTTCACTTAAGTGTAATGTAAAGTGCAAATTCACGGCCCTGAATATACCTGCGACTGCTAATTTTGCTGACTCATTTGCCATCTTGGCTCTTTACCAGTTATATAAAATATGCACTTGTGACATATGAAATAGGATACTGTTGTTAAAAGTTATCACAACTTCGTACATTTGGGGTTGGTTCACACTAGCTTTTTCTTTTTTTTCCCCCTGCTTTAATAACCCGATGAAGCTTAGGCTCTCATTCAAAATCATTTTTTTTTCTGTCGTCCGCTTCTTCTTCGTCTACAGCTCTATATATTATTCATTGCCGTCTTTTCTTATAGGCAGGCTGATTGATTAGCTGCTGTCGCCCAACAGGACGGTAAGCTACTTTACGATAAAGCTGACGTGTTAAAGGCTTTCCAACATCAAGTAAACATTGGAAGGGCCAGAGCATCCACACACTGAAAGACGAACGGGGGAGAGCAGAGGTTTTGGAAGATATTCAACTATGAGATGCATACATTTATCGTCATTGTAACATACTCTAAAAGCTTGCTGAGAAAGGTGAAGACAGGGATGTTTAGAGCAAAGTGGCAAGCTTCACTGGGAAGGTCACCGGTAGTGAGCATACTTTGGATCTTTTTTCCAGCCAATGCCGGCGTATTGGGTAATGAACAGGCAGACACATTAGCTGGATCTGCACCACTGGGTGGTGAATTGATACATGAGAAGGCAAATGTGGTCAAGGCCCTTTGGGAACAAGAAACGGAATCAGTAGAGAAACAAGATTATTATGGCCTGGAGAGAATGAGGCACCTGGGTGTAACCAGAGGGTCTGGCCGGCTCACTACACTAAGAGGAAAGGCAAGACGGACATATAACCAGTCTGTGACCGGTACCATCAGTATTGGAGCTGCTGAAGATGAGGACGGAGCATGCCTGGGATTGCCCCGAGTGCTGTGATGTCAATTCTTGACTCAACTCAACCGTTCTCCGTACCCCCCCCCCTCCCACCTATATTGATAAAAAGTTCAAAACGTATCATTCTGCATTTTTACATGAAGTCGTTTTTTAATTCTGAAATGCTTGTATATGAAAACCAGCTGAGGACTATTTGTCTTGCGTTGTTGTCGACAGTGGCACGGAAAGCTGACCAATTAGAAAGCAATGGCAAACTACTGAACGTAACATTTGCCTATAAAAGCCACAACAGCCAAGAAATGCTGGGGTTGATTCTGCAACGGATATGCAACTAACACCCCCCCCCCCACACACACACACACACACTTGTTTCCTTGTCTGAAATGTTTTTCATAACTATTTTGATATGAAGTTTAAAACATATAATCGTCCATTTTTATAATAAATCGTTTTTGATTATGAAATGCTCGTATGTGAGAACAACAGCCAGGCACTGAAAAATTGATTGGATACTATTTTATCGCATGACCAGTAAATGATCCTTGTTCCCAAATATAGTATTTCTACCCCCTCCCTCCATGTTGTTTTCCAGGAATATATTGATGTGAAGTTCAAAACATATAATCATGCGTTTTTATAATACGCTGTCTCTATTCTTTAATTTCTAGATATGAGAACAACAGCTATGCAGTGACAAATTGATTGGACACTATTTTATCGCATGACCAGTAAATGGTCCCTTATCCCCGCCAAAATAGTCCGTCTACCTAGTTCTTCCCTGCCTCCTGGCCCGCCACTACGTCACATCCGGGTTCAGGCACAGCTGCGAAGGAGAGCCAGATCTAGCAAAATGGCGACGGGCACTTCCCAAGGCGAGTCATCGTCCTCAGGCGAAGACAGCTCCGACAGGCTAAAAAAATTATACCCAGCGGTGGATGAAGATGAAACTCCGCTGCCGCGTTCGTGGAGTCCGAAAGACAAGTTTAATTTCATCGGATTGTCTCAGGGAAATCTGCGAGTTCACTACAAAGGTGGGTTGTCTTTGTTATTTTTCAGTCGCAGTTGACATAGTTTTGAGTTCTATTTTTATCGTTGATTCTACAACGTAACTGCTCTGCTTGTTGTAGCTGGTGGTTTTGGTGGTTGCCAAAATAAAGGCTGTTTGCTGTTTTATAATAACATCACTGCACTTGAGACGTATCATCCTGACATAACACTGTATAACTAACAAATTTGTGAGATGAGATGTGGTCATCAATCGATCATTCATTATTCATAAACTGACGAAATTAAAATTAAATGCACAAATAAAAATGAATTATCCTTTCCTTTTTCTTGATCTGCAAAAGAAGGAGACAACGTCGATGTTAATGGGGTAACATGATATTTTGCTATAAACCATAATTTTTTAGATGGTGAATAATCAGAATAATTTAATTTATTGTAATAGTAATAATTGTAATACCATTATTAGTATTATTCAATTAATATTACTATTACATTATTATGTACCTTTGTAAATGTAATAATGATAAATAATGTGACTATGTAATTAATTAGTAGGGTTAACAGAGTTCACAGAGAAAATATAACTATTATAACCTGTTGATTCTGTCTTCATTTGCAAGATAAGTCTGATCAAGTCAGAATGTATTACCCCAACCCCCTTCTTCTTCTGGCCTTGTCACAATGGAACATAAGATAATAGTAATAGTAAAAATGTCATCAGCATCATAAGCCGTCACCACAGGGGTCTAGTGCCAGATTGACCTGATCTTTGTTGCAGCATTCCACATGTCTTTCCCATCTTATTACATATTGATCCTGATGCTTATTGTCTAATTTTCTTCTCTGTGTTTTGTGTGGGTCTGCCTCTCTTCTCTTATTCCTCTGGGCCCTGGTGCAAATAAAATGTGTGTTGTCCATCAAGATGATGATGATCACTCTTTTTCATTAAGTATGAGTACGAAGATGACTGATAAGGCAGATTGATGCCGGCCCCAAATATTTTTGGACAGTGAGGACAGGGAATGTGTGTTGTGCCAGGGAGGGAATGTCTTGCAGTCACCTTTCTGTCCCTACTTTTCCTAATCAGTCTTGCTGTTCTATTTGCTTCACATGTAGCCGCGCCCTTGTGTAGAGTTGCACACTGTGCATTTTGGTCTGGAGAGGCAGCCTCCCAATTGGTGTTATTCATCCCAAATGCTTGAGTAAAGTCTTCAAGGTGTCATTTAAGGCTTTCTTTTGCCCGCCTTGGGAACTTTTCCTATTTTGTAGCTCACCACAGAAGAGTGCAAATAATACATTACTAAGCAGTCATCATTTCCCTGTTGTACCATTATTATGTCACATTTTTAGTCTATTTCTCCACTCCATTCTATTCTGTGCAAACAGTTTGATATCATGGATGAAACCCAATCCAGCAGCAGCTTTGGCTTCTCTCATTAGCCCTTGTTTTAGGGTTTACTTTAGGTGTCCTTACTTCTTCAGTCCCTTTATTTTACTGCCTCTCTCTGCACTTTTCTTCTCAATACACCACCATATTCGTTCTTATAACTGTTGTTACCAGTGGTAATGCAGACATTAGTATTATTTCTTCACCCCTGTTGAATTGATCCCATTTTAGGTTAACTAACCTTTTTTCTACATTTTATGTTGTCTCACTGATACCTGGTTGTAGCCCAGTGTCGTGGTTTTCTGTATTTCTCTTGCACTTCCCGGGTGACTTGGGTGATGGATTTGTTCTTGGTCTTCCTCCCAGATGTTCTACTGTAAAAATCTTGTGCAGTTTGACCTGGCTGCATTCTTACTAGATGGCCAAACCATTTCATTCGTCTGTCTGTATAATCCAGACATGGTCTTATTCCAACTTTCTCTCTAATGCTGCTATTCGTTACCCTGTCTTTTTGTGTTGTTAGTGACCCTGCAGAGACAGTGCATTTCACAAGTAATTTTCTTTTCTAGTGCCCTATTCATTTTTCATGATTGGCACTGATAACATGTAGGGATAAAGTTGCTATTAACCATTTGCTGTTTTGCTGAAAGGAAGACATTTGGATGCAGGTGTAATAATTATTATTTAAGAAGAAAATACATTCACTCATTTTGCACCATGTAATCTACAGTGAATATGTTGGCATTTCCTTACATGGTACGCTTTTCTGAAATATATATGCTCTGTTTACTTGTTACATTTACCCAATCTACCCCAGTTGTCACTTTTACTCATTTTCTCTAATGTTTTAGCTCCTTCAGAATTGAGCTATTAAAAAACAGTAATAACGGCTTGGAAAAAAAGGAGTTATAACAGTAAAGGGCCTTGTCCATGCTTTGTTGTTCTATTTTAAATTAATGTAAGGTAAAAAAAAAAATTCTGAGATAATTCATCGAAGATAATTTTTTAAAAAAATAGAGCAAGCAGACATTGAAACACTAATAGGCACGGACAAGCTTTTTTTTTATTTAGAAAAAAAAATATCAGTTGTCACCAGATAGTGGGTACTAACCACAAAGTGTCTGTTACAGAAGCTTTAAGAAAAACAAAACCAGGATGGCTTGAAAAAAAAAATAAAAGAGATGTTTGTACTGGGTGCCAAAAACAAAAATACATATATACTTCTTTTGCCTTTCTAGCACCCAATGGGCTTTTGCTATCGTATGCAGCTCTCCCATGTCCTCATCATCTTTCTTTCATTCTCCAGCTTCCTTCTTCTTGTTTTGTTTTGTTTTTGGCCTTCCTTTATTCCTATGTCCCTGTGGGTTCCAGTGCAAAGACATTCTAGATATATAGATCTCATATTTTCTCAGCGTGTGTCCTATGCAACGCCAGTGTCTTTTCTTCACCTCTTGGTCCACTGGAGCTTGCTTAGTTCTCTCCCAAGCTCTACATTAGTGATTCTATCATACCATTTAATTCCCCTCTATTCTGCTCAGGCACCAGTTAATGAATGTCAGTAGTTTATTAGTAATTGCCTTAGTTGTAGTGATATATACTGCCCCGAAATATCTCTTGATGTGCTAATGATTGTTTAAATGCTGTGCAGAATACAATATCTCCCAAGTGGTCTAGTGGCTAGAATTCCGCGCTCTCACTGCGACAGCCGAATTCGATTTGCCGCTTGGGAAGACATTTTTAGCTGGCTGGTTAGAATGCTGGGCTCTCAATCGAGAGTCCTGGGTTTGAATCCTCGGTAATGTTAAGGATTTTTTTTACGATAAAGGCAAAATAAAATCCTTGCGTGCACAGTCCTCAGGCTTAAAGACCCCCTGCCTGTGCCGCAAAAGTGGTATAATAAAAACAAATTGGCAGTTTGGCAGAATACAATTATGTAAATAATAGTTATTTTATTGCCAACTGATATGATGTAGCAACAGATGGTACATTACCCGATAAGCGGCCCACGAGACTTCCCTTTCCATTTATGTCTCTATCTGGCATAGCGCTTGCACTGTCGCAGTGTTTCAGGCATAGTTTTATCCTAATGAAAACAATTTGATTTTTATAATATGCTCTAAATGACCTATATTAAAAAAAAAACATTTTGAACAAACTAACAGTAAACATCCGCAAGACCCCATCAGCAGACTCAACAGAAAGCAACATACAACAATTTTCCGTCTACGAATAGGACACTGCAAGCTTAACTACCACATGCATAAAATAAAGATTGTACAGTCCCCACAGTGTGCCTGTCAAACAGGACCACAAACACCTGAGCACATTTTTCAGACATGCCCACTGTACCTACAACTTTAAAAAGACACCTGGCCTCAAGAGCAGAGTGTGCAGAGCAAACCATGAAGGACCTGCTACTGACATGCAAGTTCACAGAGGCAACCCACATGATGGTTTGATCTGAGCATACGAAACCGGATGCAAAGAACAAGAACAAACATTTTATTACATTTCCTCGACTGCCGAAGAACATGCACAAGCACAGCTTAAGTTATGCTTCTAATGGCGTTGGTGATGTGTTAATTTTTCCTATGTATGGAAACTTACGGGACATCCTGTATTCTTCAGTACAACATAAAATGAAGCCTGAAAGTTCTATGGAGAAAATGTGAAAGACGTGCACAAATATAACCTAATGTTTCAATCAACGTTTTTATCCAGAGAGTTTTCAAATACAACACAAACCGTGACTAGAACAAACTCAGTACTGGACAAGACATCAGAGCTAGCAAACAGTCAAGCTCAACACGAAACCAGAAAAACTTGGATCTGTACACTTTCTACATATAGTGGGTCCGGATACAATATTCAATCAGATAAACTTTATGGGTCGCCGAGTGAATTACAACAGACAGTAAAGTTCACACTAGAGACAACATTACAGATAGAGATAATCTATTTCAAGGGGACGAAAGAAGAAGAAGGTGAAACTCTGCAACCTTTGAATAGCCATCCTGTGTATTGATACTGATCAGAAAAATTATTGTGACAGTCATGTACATACCTGTTTGCACGACTGTCATACATTATTAGTCCTTGTGTTTTGCAGTTTTACACCCCCCCCCCCCCCCCCAGCCTTTTCGCTCCTCTCACAGTTGGTATGCATTGATATTACCTGTTACACAACAGATGTGAAAACAGAGCAGCTAGGACTAATGAAACTTAGGCCAAATCAATACTTGTCTCCTTTAGTTTTTAGGTAGCAGGGATGGTCTAGTGCAGTGGTCTTTAACTGGTGGTCTGGTACAGTGTTCTTCAGACAGTGGTCCTGGTGGTCTAGAACAAGGTTCTTCAACCAGTGGTCCAAGATTCCTGGTGGTACAGAACACTGTTTTTTAACTGGTGGTCTAGTACAAGGTTCTTCAAAAATGGTCAAAGTGTTCTGGTCTTCTAGTACAAGGTTCTTTAACTGGTGGTCTTCTAGTACAAGGTTCTTTAACTGGTGGTCTTCTAGTACAAGGTTCTTTAACTGGTGGTCTTCTAGTACAAGGTTCTTTAACTGGTGGTCTTCTAGTACAAGGTTCTTTAACTGGTGGTCTTCTAGTACAAGGTTCTTTAACTGGTGGTCTTCTAGTACAAGGTTCTTTAACTGGTGGTCTTCTAGTACAGTGTTCTTCGACCAGTGGTTAAAGTGTCCTGGTGATGTAGTACAGTGTTCTTCATCTTCAGCTGGTGGTCTAGAACAGTGTTATTTGACTGGTAGACCATGTATCCTGATGTTCTAATCATCTAGTCCAGTGTTCTTCAACCAGTGGTCAAAGTGTCCTGGTGGTCTAGTACAGTGGTCTTCAACTGGTGGCCTAGTACAGTGTTTTTCAACCAGTGTTCAAATTGTCCTGGTGGTCTAGTACAGTGTTCTTTAACCGGTAGTTCATGTATCCTGATGTTATGGTGGTCTAGTACAGTGTTCTTTAACCGGTAGTTCATGTATCCTGATGTTATGGTGGTCTAGTACAGTGTTCTTTAACCGGTGGTTCATGTATCCTGATGTTATTGTGGTCTAGTACAGTGTTTTTCAACCTGTGGTTGAATACAGTGTTCTTCAACCATTGGTCTTAGTGGTCTAGAATGATGTTCTTCAACTGGTTGTCTAGTACAGTGTTTTTTAGCCAGTGGTCCAAGAGTCCTGGTGGTCTAGTACAGTGTTCTTTAACCAGTGGTCTAAGTTTCCTGGTTGTCTAGTAGTGTTTTTCAACTGGTGGTTCAAGTGTCCTGGTGGTGTAGTACACTGTTCTTCAACTGATAGTCCATGTATCCTGATGTTCTCTTGGTCTTCTGTTACAGTGTTCTTTAACTGGTGGTCTGGTACAGTATTCTTCAAGTGGTTCAAGTATCCTGGTAGTATAATACAGGGTTGTTCAACTTGTGGTCTAGTACAGTGTTCTTCAAGCAGTGGTTGTGTCCTGGTGGTGTAGTACTGTGTTCTTTAACTGGTGGTCTGTGTATCCTGATGGTCTAGAAGAGTGTTATTCTACTGGTGATCAGTGTGTCCTGGTGGTGTAGTAGTGTTCTTTAACCACTGGTCCAGTGAATTGTTTATCTGTTTAGGTGCATTTCCACTTTTGTGCTTGTATTTTTTTGTATATAAAGGCTTCTATTACTTCTGTTCTTGGATGAATGAATGTATATCATCTATAAGAGTTGTTTATAAATGAAGACCTGCTTATTAGGACATCTGGTTTTTTGTTGTTGGGGGGGGGGGGGGTGTTATTGAATGCTGTATATATATATAAGACATGTTGTTTATTCTCAAATGCCGTGTGTTTCAAACATGTTTTGTTTGTTCTTGAATGCTGTGTGTATCAAACGTGTTATTTTTGTTCTTCACTGATGTTTTTTCTAAAAGCACCGTTCACTGTTGTTCTTGCAGGTGTCGGCAAAACACACAAAGATGCCGCCAGTGTCAGAGCCACAAACCCCATCCCTGCTGCATGTGGAATTTATTATTTTGAGGTCAAAGTGATCAGCAAAGGCAGAGATGGGTATGGAGCCGATTGTCAGTTGCTTTGTCTGCATAATTTCATTATATGTGTCAGTGGTTTTATTTGTGTGTGTTATTCTTCACTGTTTAAGTACCAAGCATTCGCTGTGTGTTTGTTAATTTTCAGTGTGGGTTTTGACCAATTTGAGTTGTTTCCTTCAGTCGGAGAGCATTTGCCTGAGCATGAAGGAACCAATACTGTGCCTATAAATAAGCCAAATCGGCTCTCCTTTAAATAACGGTCGCTAGCTGGAAAGCCGATGGTCGCTTAGTCGGAGTGCGCTCCCTTGGCTGCATTGCAAATACAGAGTGGAAAAGTCACGAATCAAAAACAAGGTCAACATGGCAGTTAAACATCTAGCTCCGACTCATATTAGCAACCACGGTCTTGCGACGCACGACATAGTTGCCACGGATGTGACTTATGCAGATCTGTATGCCTTAATGACCGATAAGTTTGCGGGGGTAGGGTTTGGGTTAGGGTTAGATGTGAAAATTTTGACGCAGGAGTTCAAAATATTTGCGCACAGTGACATACACACCCAAACAATTGAAGGACTGTGGATGCTACTCAAACGGACAATTCGCCATCAATTGGGCACCAGCCGTGCGCTATTGCGGTCATATTTAGAAGAATTCCAGTGGCGCCACTCCCACAAGAATCAGATTGTCGGCCAGTTTTTGGAACTCAAGCGTCAAAATTGTCACATCTAACCCTAACCCACACCCTACCCTACACCCTACGCAACCGTATGATGACAGGCAAGTATGTCAATTGTGTCGTTCCCTCTTTACGCTCCGTATTTGCAATGCAGCCAAGGGAGCGCACTCCGACTAAGCGACCGTCGGCTTTCCAGCTAGCGACCGTTGTTTAAAGGAGAGCCGCAAATCTGTAAAATGGATGTGCATACAAAACTCAATTTCTGGGTCAAGACCAAGAATCAGAATTGGATGAACAAACAGAAGTTTACAGAAGAGTTCACAGCCAGTGAGTTCTAAGAAGAAGGCTGTGTTTATTGGGTTTTTCCAACAACATACTTTACTTTTCTAATCACTTCATACTTATCAAGGTGCCATGTTTTCTTCTTGGACACATTGTACTGTTGGGATTTTCTCTATCTTCTTTCCATGTTGTTCTTGGTCTACCTCATGCTGTATGTGCCTTTCCTCTTTTCGTGTGTGCTTTGTATCATATGATGTTGCAGAGCATTCTTCCTTTGCATTTGCTGTCTTTGTATTTAGTTTTTTTTTTCTCTTCCCCTTCTAAATGTGTTGTTCCCACGCACAACAAGGCTGCAATATTTGCAACTTTCAGCCGACACATTTAACTTCTGCAGGCCTTCTCGGGTGTGTAGTTAACTATTGGTTCTGTGCTGTCTTTTTTCTTTTTACCTATTCTTTTCACAATGTTAATTCAGTTCCTGATTGAGTGAATAAAACCAGAATTGACATCGCTGCACCAGGGACATTCACACACATAATTCAGTTCCTTTTTTCCCCCATAGGGATTTTAGTTGTCCTGTTTCAGACCTAAACACATTATTGTAAACAACAGTTCTTTGGAAGTCTTCTTCTTTGGTGCTTTATTAATATCCTACCCCAGACGGGAAATTCACGGGACAGTCTAATATTTCAAGGGGTGGTAGATAGGTCGTGGGACCTAGGCTGCATGCAGTCATGGGACCTAGGCTGCACTCTCTCGTGGATCGTAGGTGGGTTGGGGTTAGGGCCAGTTCTAGATGTTTTGGGGTCATTAAAAGCATCAGAAAGCCGGGAAACCCAGTCTTACCACCCTCTAAAACGTTGGACTGTCCTGTGACCTCATCTGGGGTAGTATATTAATAAAGCAGCTCTTCTTCTTCTTAGCTTTCACTGATAATAAACTCTGGCGGAAATGTTTTGGTTGTTTATCCACTTTTAGGCTGTGGTCTTGTTACAGAACTGGAGTTTTATATGCACATTTTTTAACAGATCTGGTTTTAAAGTATTCAGGCGTTTGGTGCCACATCTATCAGGAACATGCACTCTGACTAAAGGAAACACAGCTAAATAGTCACCTTTTGTGACCTGCTTGTTAGGGGTCAGTGGAAGGGCCCCCCCCCACACCCCCAATGGGACCCCTGAACCTACACAGGGGAATCCTAGGCAATGGGTGATTGTGGAAATGTACATCTGATTTGAAAGAGATTGATGGAATCAGAGGTATTGGGCAGAAGGGCATATAAAAAGGTAAAGTCTGGAGATGTGAATCAGCATCATTGCACACGGTTATAAACCAAAAGTTCTCTGCCACCAATACGGACAGCTGATAAGATACTGTTCACCTGTGTCGCCGTCCGCACACAACTCCGTAGCTACAGTGACGTCACTCCATTTACCCCAGAATGTAAACTCTGGTACCAATTTTCTAGAGGCTGGGTGAACCCCGGGAACCGTCCTAAGAAGGGCAAATATCCCAGCCTAGCTGTAGACCACAACACAATTCTCAGGTGCTTTTTTGATGGTGAAACACAGAAGAACAAGAATTAGCCAGAAAAATTTATGAAGGATCACAAGGACATTCATGTCCTCTACTGCAGATGACTGGTGGCGCCAAGATTGATTTTTATTGTGAAATTTACTGGATATACTTTGCAGCTGATGGCAAATCAACCCTAACATCTGTTGCCTCTTTGTGGTTTTTCTAGACCATTTTAACATTCATGCTACTGTCAAAATCATTACAGAGCGGTCTGCTGTCATATTGCCTGCAGCTGAATCTGGCATGGTATTTCAGAATTATGTGATTGCATTCATAACCCCTAAACCATGGATGCCAATATTTTGTAATAATACAGCAAGCTTTCTGTTGATTGTGTCCTCAGGTACATGGGGATCGGTTTATCTGCTCAGGGTGTCAACATGAACAGGCTTCCAGGTAAACATTATAAGGAAAACAAGTTTGAACACATTGTTCCTTCCTTGCTGCAGAGTTGTCTGTTGTGATCTGTTTGTGTGTGTGTGTGTGGCCAATACTTTATCTTTTTGTTATATTGACTGTAAACTTGTTATTCACATTTGTGGCCAGTACTTTATCTTTTTGTTAAATTGACTGTAAACTTGTTATTAACCTTTGTGGCCAGTACTTTATCTTTTTGTTAAATTGACTGTAAACTTGTTATTAACATTTGTGGCCAGTACTTTATCTTTTTGTTAAATTGACTGTAAACTTGTTATTAACATTTGTGGCCAGTACTTTATCTTTTTGTTATATTGACTGTAAACTTGTTATTAACATTTGTGGCCAGTACTTTATCTTTTTGTTAAATTGACCGTAAACTTGTTATTAACATTCGTGGCCAGTACTTTATCTCATTTTGTTATATTGACCGTAAACTTGTTATTCACATTTGTGGCCAGTACTTATATCTTGTTTTGTTATATTGACCGTAAACTTGTTATTCACATTTGTGGCCATTACTTATATCTAATTTTGTTATATTGAAAGTAAACTTGTTATTCACATTTGTGGCCAGTACTTTATCTCGTTTTGTTATGTTGACCGTAAACTTGTTATTCACATTTGTGGCCAGTACTTTATCTTGTTTTGTTATATTTACTGTAAACTTGTTATTCACATTTGTGGCCAATACTTTATCTCGTTTTGTTATGTTGACTGTAAACTCGTTATTCACATTTGTGGCCAGTACTTTATCTCCTTTCGTTATATTGACCGTAAACTTGTTATTCACATTTGTGGCCAGTACTTAAATCTTGTTTTGTTATATTGACCATAAAATATTATGTTCACATTTGTTGCCAATTAGGATGGGACAAGCATTCTTATGGTTACCATGGTGATGACGGCAACTCATTTTGCTCCTCTGGTGCTGGCCAGCCGTATGGTCCCACGTTTACAACCGGTGACACTGTCGGATGCTGTGTCAACATGATCGACAACACTTGCTTCTACACCAAGAACGGCATCAATCTTGGTATGTTGCTTATCATTTACTACTACTACTACTTCTGCATCTTCCTCTTCACATTCACCGGCTGTAAACTCTGGCAGAAAGTTCTGGGTGTTCCTCCACCTCCGGAGTCTTGTTTCAGAACCTGAGTGTTGCATGCATATTCGTTTCACAGATCTGGCTTATTTATGTGCAGACTCTTGGTATCTTGCCTCTCAGGTAAATGTTCTACGACTTCGAATGATGCCACCACTTAGTCGACTTTGCGGCATGCTTGTTAGGGAGGCACTAGGCCTGTTCTTGTTTTCCCCACAATAGGGCCCCGGAACCTGCATGGAGAGTTTGTGATTTACAGTATTGTTCATTATATGTTATGTTGATACAACAGTTATTTGAAGAAACAAAATAAAGAAGATTGTGATACATTTGGCGCATCCTGAAGAGTAACAAGCAGTGTGTCCCTAAACAGGCACTGAAAAGGGACACAGAAGGATTGACGAAATGGGAGCTTCTAAGAGAAACCCTAAGGTGAATGTTGATCAGAGAGACCAGATATGCTGGACTGAATCCCATCCACCATATCGCAGAAAGCTGGCATTCATTCATTTATTGTCTTGTTGTGCCATTTTACATCACATTGGGGCTCACAGTCTGGTTACTGATTTAAGAATCAACATAGCTCACCACACTCAGTTCCTCGTTCACACATTCTTGCGTTCACACATTCTTGCCCATGTTATTTCATCTAATCTCGTGTCTTCTGCCAAATGTCGCTCATATATGGTCTTCAGAATATCTCCCTTGTCTAATACGAGTGTTCCCGTAGCTTTCACCTTTATAGCCAGAAAATCCGCTCTTTCATTTCCTTGCACTCCTGCACATCCCGGACAGTATATCCACGTGATAGTCTATGGTTCTTTTCTTTTATCTCACCACATCTCCCGGGCTCCGAGATTTTGTGTGCAATTTCAGAAAGAGTCTAATAATATAATGGTTTTAGGGTGTGAAATGAACACCAAAAACCCCCCTATAATATTAGACTTTCTGTGGAATTTCTTATGAAATCTCAGAGCTCCAAAGATGAGGTGAAAAAAAAGAAAAGAACCCAGTATGTTTCTCCATTTCCATTCTATGTAGGGTGTGGTCACTTCATTACCATGGATGGAATACAGCCCAGTAGCTTTAGCTTCTCTCATCAATGTTCACCTCATGGTTTCTCTTCCACTTCCTTGTTTTCTCAGTTTCCCATTTCACTGCATGTTTGGTGACTCTGTTCATCTCTTATCAGAGTTGAGTTGAGTCAATTGACATCACAGCACACAGGGCTTTCCCATGTGTGTTCCGTCCTCATCTTCAGCAGTCATCGCAGAGTTCCAGTACTGATGGTACTAGTCACAATCTGGTTATATGTATATCTTGCATTTCCTCTGAGTGTAGTGAGCCAGCCAGACCCTCTGGTTACACCCAGGTGCCTCATTTTCTCCAGGCCATAATGATCTTGTTTCTCTACTGATTCCATTGCTTGTTCCCAAAGGGCCTTGACCACATCTGCCTTGTCATGTATCAATTCACCACCCAGTTCATTACCTACTACTCTGGCATGGCCTGGAGAAAAGATCCAATGTATGCTCACTATCGGGGACCTTCCCAGTGAAGCTTGCCACTCTGTTCGAAGCATCCCTGCCTTCACCTTTCTCAGCATGCTTTCAGAGTTTGTTACAATTATGACATGTTTATGCATCTTGTTCTCTAGCCACCGAGGAGCTGCAGTTACCGCCTCCACCTCCATTCTCATGCTAGATGTGAAGCCATATGCTAGGCTGTCTTGCACTAAAGATTTTCCATTGGCTTTCGCTACGAACCCCCAGGCACTTCTATTTCCTCTCAACACTGAACCATCTGTATAGATAATCAGATCACCTGGGCGGGAATTGTCGTGAATCAACTGTTGGACTTCCACCTCCATAGCACCTGCTGGCCACTCTCTTCACTTCCAGCCCAATGGGATCATAATCCTACACAGATCAGACTTTTTCTCAGATACTCTGACCCACTCCTCTCCTCACCCAATGTTCTTCATCATGCATACTTGTCTTATTATGTCTTCTGCCATCTTCTCTGTCTTATAACTGTTGATGCTAGTTATGTGGTCAGTGTCTTGCCAGCGGCATTTACTTCCCACATTTCATTTTACCCATGTTAGCCTGGGTTGACTTGGTTTTTAGACTCTTTATTTTTGAAAACAGTTTTGTTTTATACTTAGGGAAATACAGTCTATTACTTAACTATGCAAACCACACACACTACTGAAATAATCTTCTTCTTCTTCTTCGCGTTCACCAGCTGTACACTCTGGCGTAAAGTTCTGGTTGTTCGTCCACTTCTGGACTACAGTTCTGCTCCAGAACCTGAGTGTTGCGTGTGCATCAGTTTTACAGATCTGATTCAATTGAATGCAGACTGCTGGTTCCTTGCCTCTCAGGCAGATGCACTCCGACTTCAAAGGAAGCTCTCCAGTTAGTCAACTCTTACGACATGCTTTTGGGGAGGCAGTGGGTCTATTCTTGTTTTCCCTACAATAGGGCCCCGGAACCCACACGGGGGACTGAAATAATATATGTTGGGCCAGTGGGTATGGATATCACAGCCTAGCTGTAAACCGTAACACAACATGCCAACAACCCTTTTATGTGCGCTGCAAAAGAAAACATTTTGTTGTTGTTTGCTCCTAATTGACTCTTAACATGTATTGGTTTCTAACTTGTTCTTTGTTTTCATTATCAACAGGAATCGCCTTCACAGATCTTCCAGTAAGTATCATTGCGCTTATTTCTTGCTAATAACAGGAATTGCCTTCACAGATCTTCCAGTAAGTATCATTGCGCTTATTTCTTGCTAATAAAAGGAATTCCAGAGAAATTTGACTAAAAAGCTCAACAAAATGGGAAAGAGAAAAACATGCACAAAACAACACAATGTAATGTTTCGGCCGCGCAGCCTTTTTCAAAAAATATTTCTTGCTAAGCTGGTTATCGAGTAAAATCAAAAAATCAACAACAACAAAAAAAGATACAATTAGTCCCCAGTCCTGATAAAGACCGTAAGAGTAAGAACATAAAAAATAAAATCAGGAATAAGGTCATATGAGATGAAGTCTGCACAGAACCAATTTTAAATTACATAGAAAGACAGCAAATCAAATGGTTTGCCCACTTGGAGAGAAAGAGGAGAGGGACGTAGAGCATGAGGTAGACCAAGAACAACATGGAAGGATAATATCAGAGAAACTCTACAGTACCACGATGTGTCTTTGGTCGAAGCAGCCAGAAAAGCAGGAGCTTGTATCTTCCTCGACACCTGAAGCGGTAAATGAGGACACAAAGAAAAGAAGAAGTCCCTGGGGGAGCTAACCTAGGCAGCAAATGCCTGACAAAGTCTTGATATGTCTGCTGAAAAGTGAGTATTGCAGCCCTGCTGTGAACAGTCGAGAAACAGTTATGTCCTTGATTGAATGCAGAAGAAGAAGAAAGACATAGTCCCCAAAGTTCTCCATGTGGGTTCTGGGGCAACATTGTGGAGGGAAAAAATTATAGACCTACTGGCCCCTGCTGACGGTCAAATGTCCTTAAAGGCTTTTAATTTGGAGTGTTTCCTTTGAAGTCAATCTGCCTGAGAGTAATGACTCATTTCAGTCTGCATACAGGTGTAATGACCCATTTTCTCCTTCCTGTCTCATTTTCATAAATCATGATGAAGGGGTGGCGTTAAGAATAATATATGAGACAACAGACTAAATGTCGTGTTGGAAACTTTACAAGGGGAACGAGAATCTTTTATAAAGGCCAAATAGCCATGAAAAACAAGAATTGCAAGGAATGTATGGCAACATTCTAAAATGAAAGGAACAGGCTTTTTAAGCCAGGAGAAATTGCGTTAGAGAGACTAGTTCCAATCTGGTGTCATTGGAGTGTATAGAGTGAGTGAATCTTGAATGAAGTGCATCCTGATTCTACGGTGACTGCTTCAACTGCCCGACTTGAAAAACCTGTCTAGGTAGGACTCTATGACGTCATGAATATCACAATGAAAGAAAGTGGCGGCTGCTTTTCTGAAGTGATTTGTGAAGTTGCAGTGTGTTCATTTGGAATGAAGTGATAGTGTTAATTCTTATAACTATTGTGAATAAGTCATTGCTGTTACGTTTGACTAGCGCCCTAGACATCTCTTCTTTTGACATTGTGTCTCGAGTTAAAAGTATCGTTGCAGTATAAACAATGTTATCAGCTGTCTGGGTTTCCTCTCAGCGTGTTATAGTTTGCTGTGGTAGTGTGACAGTGCTGTGGTACTGTGACAGTGCCGTGGTAGTGTGACAGTGCTGTGGTACTGTGACAGTGCTGTGGTACTGCGACAGTGCTGTGGTACTGCGACAGTGCTGTGGTACTGCGACAGTGCTGTGGTACTGCGACAGTGCTGTGGTACTGTTACAGTGCTGTTGTACTGTTACAATGCTGTGATAGTGTGACAGTCTCGAGTGTGTCAAAAGTAAACTGCAAGGATTAGAGCTAAAGGAGAGTCAATGCACAAATAAACCAGATCTGTAAAATAGAAGTGCATGCAGGACACAAATTCTGGAACAAGACTTAAGTCCAGAAGTGGACGAAGAACCAGAACTTTCCACCAAAGTTTACAACCGATTAACACAAAGAAGACGAATGTCTTCTTTCTTCGCTTTAACAATTTTCCACTTCTTCTACATCACTCCCCCCCCCCCCCCCAGGTTTCGTTACTTTCTTGTCTTCTGAAGTATATTTTGTATATTTCCTATTTTGTCCACATTGTCTTTAATTTTTTTTCTCTTGACACCGTCTTCGCTCTTTTCTACCTGCCTTTATAACATTTAATGACAATGCCAGTTTTATCATCTATTTTATCATATATATTCTCCAGCCCAACCTGTACCCCACTGTTGGCCTACAGACCCCAGGAGAGGTTGTTGAAGCTAACTTTGGTCAGATTCCATTTGTATTTGATATTGAGGATTACATGAAGGTATTTCCAAAGGCTGAACTTATTTTACAATTAGTCGTTAGTCACATGAATAGTATTAGTATTTAGTCAGTGTCACAGCAGTTACCCTATAATTGCTCCTTTCCTGTGCTGATAAAAACCATACGGATTGCCTATCACTGCCCTTTGTAGATAAATTGCAACAGGCTGCAATCTTGGCAAAGCAAGTAGCAAATGCACACAGTCGCCAGAAGTGCCAGTGCAAACAGTCCACTAGAATAGCAGTTCGCCATTTATAATTGCTCCTTTCCGGTGCCAATAAAAACCATACATATTGCCCATCACTGCCCTTTGTAGATAAGTTGAAACACTGCAATCTTGGCAAAGCCGTAGCATGTATTGGCAGTCGCCAGAAGTGCACACACAAACCGTCCACTATAATAGCAATTAATTTTTCATAAATTGTCCTTTCCTGTGCCAATAAAAATCTTACAGATTGCCCATCACTGTCCGTTGTGAATAAATTTAGGCGGACTGCAATCCTGGCAAAGCCAGTAGCATGTACTCCCAGCCGCCAGAAGTGCTAATGCAAACAGTCCACTAGAATTGCAGTTCATGTTTTGGATATGGGACATTTTCTAATCATTCCAGACAGTGTTATTACGACTTGTTTACCGAAGAGCATAAACAGTTTAAAACCATCAGACCTTAGACTTTAGTGCAGGGGCTCTCAACCTTCCTAATGCTGCAGCCATTAAATACCTTGTGACCTTTATGTTGTGGCGACCCCCCAACCATATAGTTATTTTTATTGCTACTCCCTATCTTCAATGAAAATTTTGTTTTCCTATGGTCTTAGGTGACCCCTGTAAAAGTGTTGCGACCTGCAGGTTAAGAACCGCTGCCTTAGAGCTTGTTTGGGGCTTTATTGGAGTGGTACTTCTCTGCAAAGTTTTTTTGAGATCCAGCCATTTGGTAAACATTTCCTTGATTCATGAGCTAGGGGCTTCCTCCCTTTCTCTCTCCTTCTTCCAAGCCCGAGAGTTAGAGGTAAACTAGGGTTGAGCACGGTTACATGACTCATTTCGACTCGTAAAAGTTCTAGCATGCGAGTCAATTTCCAAACAAAAGAGTATATCTTGCAAAATCTTTCGTGCATATATGGGACAAAAACCAAGCTGGGCTTACTCCGGTGCAGACATACCGAGGTGCCACTGTGTTTAGATTGACAACATTAAAGACAATGTTCATTCACAAAAGATGACTTGGCGTGAGTTGGTTGAGGGCCTATGCTCCGTTGGAGGGCTAGAAAGGCAGAAGAAGAAAACTGCCACTGGCACCCATTGGACACAGAACCACTAACCTCCTCATCCAAATCATGCTTCACAATAAAAGGTGATGATGATGACTTAATATTGTCTCTTCGTGTAGTTCTGAAGCCCCATTTTTTTTTGGGGGGGGGGAGGTTTAGGCACATTGCCCCTTAAAGGGTGTGTGTTAAATAGTAATTGATTAAGGGTTTGTTTGGATTATTTGAGTTCTCAAGAAAGACATATCGCAGTCACTCCTGGCCAGGGATCAAGTTCCTCCTCTCTATAGCACAAAGCCTAGGCAGTATTATAGAGATTGTGTGTTGGCCATGCATCATAATCCCTTTCTCTGTCTGCCCTGTTTACTCCAAAGGTCCCCATGTGGGTTATCTGGCCCCATTGTGAGGAAAACAAGAATACACCCTCTGCCTTCCAAACAAGCATGTCGTAAAAGTCTACTAACTGGGGGCTTCCTTTGAAGTCGGAGTTCATCTGCCTGAGAAGCAAGGAACCAGCGATCTGCATACAAGAAAGTCAGATCTGTAATACAGATCTGCATGCAACACTCAGGTTCTAATAGAAGACTAAATTTCAGATGTGGACGAACAACTAGAACTTTCACCTGGAGTTTACAGCAAAAAAGACTTCAAAGGAAAGGTAACACCAATCTGTTTAGAACAAAGCATGCTGCAGAAGTAGCCGGATGAAAAGAGCAGCGCTTGATCTGTCCACCGGTCGGAGCTTCCCTCCTAGCTGGTCTGTCCTGCCATAGCATGAAATTTTTAGGTTGCATTTTCTCCTTCTAGGGCAAAGCTAGTATCCTCACCAGTGTACTGCCCTCAGAAAGTCACAATGTGGGGGACCTCTTTAAGCTGTTAAATATGAAATAATAAAGTAAGAAAATGTATTGATCGGCACTCATAGAAAGTAGTCCAGGACAAAGCATTAGGATCTACTGTGTTCGTAAATTGTTGCTGTGCTTGTTATTTAACCTGCGCTTCCTTAATATACATTTCTGTAACCTATAGTGCCATTTGACATGAATTCTGTCCAAATTCCATAGTTGTGGATTTCAAGCTGTACGAAAGACATGGCCAATAAGACACCTTTTTTGGGGGGTGCTTAGTTGACCATGCTCTTAGTGCACTTGTTTCCATAGCGAGACGCACACGCCGTCTGGAGGTGACAGGTTTGATTCCTGGTAGGGTAACTAGAGCTTTCGATTTTTGTGTTGTCTATAGTGTGTTCTTCTATCTTTCTACTTCTTTCTATGAGTACCGATCAATACATTTTCTGCTACTTTATAAATTAATTGGCACAATGTTGGATGTCTGGTTTGACATACACTGGCCAACATTCAACTGTTTACTTATCATCATCATCATCATGTGCCTGCCAACTGGCTTTAGGCACTCATGTGTCTCCACAGATCACAATCCCTGGTTGCCTGGAACAGCTCTGTTGGTGATATTCCTCCATGCCATCGTTTCAGCCCATCCAGTATCATCTCTCTTGGTCTGCCTCTACCTCTTTTCCTACTGGTCTTTCCAGTTGTCACGATGTTCTCCATTGTCTCTCTTCTCATTATGTAGCCAAAGAACAGTGTTTGTCTCTTTCTTATTGTTGTATATAGAGATCTACATTCATCAGCTTCTTTCAAGCAATCTGTGTTATTTACTCTGACTGTCCAAGGTATTCGTAACATTCATCTCAGAAACCACATCTCTGCTGTTTCCAAATTATTTTTCTTAATTTGTTCACTGACGCTGTTCACTCTTGTAGAAATTAAAAAGAATATTGTGTTGTCATTCTTTAGGAGTGGAGAATGAAAACGAAGCTGACAGTCGAGAGGTTCCCAGTTCCAGACCGCAAAGGAGAGTTCCAGACAGCACTTCACAAGTGAACAATCTTACATTCCTTTTATCATGTCCTGTATGTTGCTGTGCCATGTTCTTACATTCTCATTTTCATGTCCTGTATGTTGCTGTGCCATGTCTTTACATTCTCATTTTCATGTCCTGTATGTTGCTGTGCCATGTTGTCATACAATCTTACATTTCCATTCTCATGTCCTGTATGTTGCTGTGCTATGCCCTTTAATTTCCATTCTCATGTCCTGTATGTTGCTGTGCCATGTCCTTAAATTTCCATTCTCATGTCCTGTATGTTGCTGTGCCATGTCCTTAAATTTCCATTCTCATGTCCTGTATGTTGCTGTGCCATGTCCTTAAATTTCCATTCTCATGTCCTGTATGTTGCTGTGACATGTCCTTACATTACCAATCTCATGTCCTTAAATTTCCATTCTCATGTCCTGTATGTTGCTGTGCCATGTCCTTACATTACCAATCTCATGTCCTGTATGTTGCTGTGCCATGTCCTTACATTACCAATCTCATGTCCTGTATGTTGCTGCACCCTGTCATCATACAGTCTTACATTTCTTTTCTCATGTCCTGCATGTTGCTGTGTCATGTCCTGCATGTTGCTGTGTCATGTCTCACACAATCTTACATTTTTTAAAGTCCTGTTCTGTATGTTGCATTATTTTTGGCACATCTCATGCTGCTGTGTCATGTTCAGTATAAATCTCGCATTTTCTTTCTCATGTCATGTGTGTTACTGTACCTTGTTGTCATACAATCTTACCTTTCTCATGTCCTGTATGCTGCTGTATCGTGTTGTGTCCACTCAATCTTACATTAATTTTTTCATGTCCTGTATGTTGCTGTGCCATGTTCTTACACAATCTTATATTCCCTTTTTCAAGTTCTGCATGTCCTGACACAATGTTACATTCCTTTTGTCATATTTTGTGTCTTGCTATACAATGTTCTCTCACAATCTTACAACCCTATTTCATGTCCTGTGTTATTGTGCCATGCCCTGACACAATCTTACAATTCCTTTGTCATGTCCTTATGTTGCTGTAAAATGTGCTCACAATTGTACAATCCTTTTGTCATGTATCTGTGTTGCCGTGTGATGTCCTGGCACAATCTTACTTTCCTTCTGTCATGTCCTTATGTTGCTCTGTGATGTCCTGACACAATCTTACAATCCTTTTGTCATGTTCTTGTGTTGCTGTGTGATGTCCTGACACAATCTTACAAACCTCTTATCATGTCCCTGTGTTGCTGTGTGATGTCCTGACACAATCTTACAATCCTTTTGTCATGTCCTTGTGTTGCTTTGTGATGTCCTGACACAATCTTACAATCCTCTTGTCATGTCCTTTATGTTGCTGTAAAATGTGCTCTGTCTTATAATCCTTTTGTCATGTCATTATGCTGCAGTGTGATGTCTTTACACAATCTTATAATCCTTTTTGGTTATGTTTGTGGGATAATTGGGAAATGTCCCCAGTGCAGTGATATCAGTTCATCATCATCATTTATTGACCTGTTGTGACATTAAGTGTCACATAAAGGTCGCAGTCTACTCCCCAGTTTTGTGCTGTCCTGTGTAATCCCTTTGATATCATAGATGGAATCCAGACCAGCACCTTTAGCCTTATCAACGTTGTTATGACTGAAACCAGTCATATAGTTTATTGAAGAACAACAAATGAGATGGTTTGGCAACCTGACGAGAATGTCCGGGAACCAGCTGCCACAGAGCCACGCTGAAGAAAAATAATGAAGGAGCAAGGGAAAGAGCACGCAAGAGATGGAGCGACACCATCAGGAGCAACCTAACAGAAATGAACACCAACTTAAAAAATGCATTGGAAAAAGGGCACAAACGATATTTACACCCCCCCCCCCCCCCCAACCACCTCGCTGAGGTAAATGGTGGAAGAGAAGTAGAAGAACATGAGTTGCATTGAGTCAAGAATTTACATCACAGCACTCGGGGCATTTCCGTGCATGCTCTGTCCTCATCTTCAGCAGCCAGCGCAGAGTTCCAATGCTGATGGTACTGGTCACAGTCTGGTTATATGTGCGGCTTGCCTGTCCTCTGAGTGTAGTGAGCACCCAAGAAGAAGAAGAACATTAATTTTAGCATTTCTTTTGGATGTCCTTAACTTCCTGAATCCCTTTGTTTCCCATTTGAGTGCCTGTTTGGTGATTCTCTGCTCAGTTGATGATAGATTCTGTTGTTTTGTCCTAGAATCGTGTGCACCTACCTGGTTCACCATGGCTACTGTGCTGCAGCTGAAGCCTTTGCCAGAGCTACAGATCAGCCTATTGTGGAAAGTATTGAAAGTATCAGAAACAGACAGAGTAAGTCGGCATTGGACACGCACAGTGTTGTTTACCTGTGTGTTGATTCTGTATTTGTGAGGGAGGGGGGATTGTGAGCATGGATGTCATTTGTTGAGCAACTCTTGATATTGTTGTGGAAAGTATTGAAAGTATCAGAAACAGACAGAGTAAGTGGGCATTGGACAGGCACAGTGTTGTTTACCTGTGTGTTGATTCTGAATTTGTGTGGGGAAGGAGTTGATTGTGAGCCTGGATGTTATTTGTTGAGCAACTCTTGATATTGTTGTGGAAAGTATTGAAAGTATTAGAAACAGACAGAGTGAGTCGGCATTGGACAGGCACAGTGTTGTTTACCTGTGTGTTGATTCTGTATTTGTGGGGGAGGGGGGATTGTGAGCATGGATGTCATTTGTTGAGCAACTCTTGATATCGTTGTGGAAAGTATTGAAAGTATCAGAAACAGACAGAGTGAGTCGGCATTGGACAGGCACAGTGTTGTTTACCTGTGTGTTGATTCTGAATTTGTGTGGTTAAGGAGTTGATTGTGAGCATGGATGTCATTTGTTGAGCAAC